TTGGGAATTCATTGAATTAGACTCGTCGTTTTTTTTCTAAGGTTTTTCTTCAAAAGCCGAGAAAATGATTTCGACTTTTTTTCTGATTCTTCAACGAACGAGAAAACTTTTCTGCTTGTCGGTAAAGTTTGATTTTTTTTTCATTTGTTTGATTTTTTCTCTATCTTTGAGCATTGATAAAATGTGTGTGTAATTCAGTAGATTTTGGTTTCATTTTCATATTATAATCTTAGAAAAACATTGTGAATAAATGAAAAAAACTATTGTTGATTTGAATATACATACGAAGAATAGAAAAACTCAAACAAAACAAAACAAAAATGAATACCACATTTTTCTGGCAATTCACCGTTTCATTTTTTTTTGTTTTGTTTGTTCTTGATTTTAATTCATGAATTTTTCTCCTATAAATTTCTTATTTTTTTACTTGATCACATTTGAAATTGTATGATGAAATCATTGAAAAAAAACTCAAATTCATAGATTTATAATTGAGAAAAAAACTGTAACAAAAAAAAACTGTTTAATTTTAATTTTATTTTTGCAAAAAATTCATTTTCTCCAGTGAATTTTCCGTGAATTCTCCTGTGATTTAGTACTGTGTAGTATTTATTTTCAGATATATGATCCAGTGTTTAACAGGAAAAATTGTTTCAATGATAACAAAACTTCATTATTATTGTCATTTTGACTTGGATTTTTTTTAATTGTCCTTCAATCTATTCGAGGAGAAAAAATGATCTAGCCTGATTACAAATGTTGAATCATTTATTGAAACTTTTCTCTTTCTCTCTCCTAGTGATATTTTTTTTCTATAGTCATTTAGTATTTTTTTCTAATCAATGAAACAAAAACTGATATTAATGATATTTTGGCGAACAATAAAAAAAACAATAAAAATTATAATGATAAATTTTTCATTTCGATTCAAATTTCTATTTATCAAATAACACATCCAATATTTATGATTTATGACAGTGAAGCTTACATTACAGGAACGTTAATGATTACAATCGTTTGTGTAAGCCAGTGTATGGCAGTAAAGCCATCATCATGATAATAACAATCATTTGCAATAGTCGAACACATATACCTGTTTCCATTTTTTTTTCTTCCACTAATATATTTTGCAGAATTATTAAATTCTAATAATTGATATTGTTTCTTGTGAATCGTGAAAAAAAGATGATGACACATTCCAGGACCAATGACGATTGGAAAAAAATTGAATGTGTCACCATTTTTATTTTTTATTTTTTGTTTTTTATGCCCTTTTTTTTGTAAAAACATACACATGACATTCTAGCCTATGTATTCTGTGTGTGTCAGACAAATATGTTTAAGTGAATAGAATAGTATGGTAAAACTAAACTCAAGCGGTTTCCCTTCGAAGAAAAAAAACAAGCAATACTTTCCAGAATGAATATATTTTCACTTGTAATTTGTTTGAATTGAGTACATAGTAAAATTATTTGATTTTGTCATCATATTTAGCATCTTTTGTTGTTGTTGTTGTTGTTTTTGGATTGTATGAATAGATTTTCTGTTTCCTTCAACCAATACAAAATGTACATTTTATTTATTCGATCTATCTTTTGATGTGTGTGTGTGTGCTTTTCTTTTGACGACTACAAATTGTAAGATTTTCTTCTTATTATAATATTTTTCTTCCATCTTACTTAACGAAAGTTGCTTGTCAAATTGTGTTTGTATTGGATATATCATGTTACATTTTTCTAATATATTGTATAAAGTATTTTTCCCACTATATTTAATGTTGTTGTTGTTGTTGTCGTTGTTGTAAAAGCAAAGACATTGTTATCTTTATGTTGATGTGTGTCACAATCCAAAGTGATCGAAAAATTTATGGAGTCATTCAGACAGTTTATTGAATGAAAATCTCTTTTCGTTCTGTTTTGTTTAATGCCATTCAATGTTTGTTATTATCCAATATCCAACTCGATGTTCATCATAAATTGATTTGGATAGAATTGTTAAATATTGATTTGAATTGATGATGACGATCTTTGTCGTTTTCATTATTTTTATTTTTATCATAATCATCATAAGTTTTATTTATATGTTCACACTTTTGTCGATTGTCTTCAATTGTCTTCAAATTGAGATACTTTTTATGCAGAGAAAACTAGATTTGATCTTTCTTTTTTTTTTATTTTATATCTTTTACTTTTATACATTAATAATAACATATAAATTCATATTGCTAACAATTTCAATAATAAAGATTCTATATTACTAATGGAATTGAAAAAAAAATTTGAATTGATTTCAATATTTTCATTTTTTTTTCGAACATTTCGAATGACAATCCGGAATTTCCTTCTTTTTTCAACTTATTTTACTCCTGTTCCTTTATACTTACTTATTTTGATTGATCGTTTGGTTGATTGATTGAATGATTTATTAGTTGTTTAACACTGTGCAAGAGTGAAACAAAAAAAAGAACTTAAAAAGTTATGTTAATAATTATTCTTCATTTCAATGATCATCGATATCTATTGATAATCAAGATCTATATTTCAATTCATTATTGGTAAATATTTCTATTTGTATATAGAAAGTTGATTTAATTTTATTATTAGATTAAAATTTATCATCATCATCATCATGAGAATGGTGATCATTTTTATACCATGTTTATATGAGTGTGAATGCTTATATTGTATGGTTCATTGGTCAATTTTTATTTGGTTCCATTACCAGTTGGATTCTTGTTTTTGAACATTTGTTTTTCATCAACATGTTCATTGATGATGATGATGATGATGATGACCAATTTTTGATGCTCAATGAATGTTGATTATAAATTTAATGAACACACACACACACGAACTCAATATATGATAGTGAGACACGCTCGTATGTCCGTTCCGTTCTCCATCACTTAGTCATACTATTTCAAAGTTGATTGAAAGGAATTTTTTTTTCATTTGCTATTTTTACTATGTGTTTTTTTCAGAAATCTATAATCTAAATGCGTGTCTATTCTATATTTCTATATGTTACATGTTCAATGTTCATCTTCTTTGGATTGAGACTTTAATTTACTGTTCATGATCAGCCTTCTTAACAAACATTAGGGACCGGGTGCGATTCAAGTCAGTTTTTTCCAATGTCTATTTGTGTGTGTTTTTGTTAAGTTCCAATTGGTGAACATTCAAACTCATGTTTAGCTAGAACATACATCCATTGGGGAATTTGTGGCATTCAATCTAACGAAGCTTATAGTTATTAGTATATTAGCGATCTTTACAAAGCTTAAAGCCCAGTCTTTTTTTGTGGGTTTTGTGTGTGTGTATTTGGCAAAACTTTTGAAAAGTATATTATGGTATTAGAAAAAAAGAAGAGGATGAAATAAAAATTGTACAACAACCGATCAGCAACAACTTTGATCAGTGTAGGGGATATTTTTTCTTTGTCTAACTAATCATTTGTCATTTGACTTATATGGATTCATCGATGTTTTATTGTCTTTTTTTCAAGTATTTGTATACTTTCTGATACTAGAGTGAAAGAGAGATGATGATGTTTATTCTCGGATTCTTATATACAATTTGAAATACAAAATAAAATCGTAGTGAATAAATCAATGAAGCAATTCTTTCTTTTTTGTTTTCACTTATCAACAAACAAAAAACATCTTGGATTTATCAATTTGTTTCTCATGTTTTTAATCCACTACCATTCAATAAATATTAATTAAAATTGATTTTAATTTAATTAAGAAAATTATCATTTTCTTCATTACATAGGTTGTTTGTTGTTTTTGACATTTAACTTTAATTTCATTCTGTGATTACACATTTTTTTCATTGAATAATTGTTTTGCAATGTCATTTCATTTATTCATCAAAGAAAGCGAAAAAAAACCACCGGCCTTATTTATGAATGTCTGTGTTGTATATTACATTTTATGTGGGAAAAAAACAGAAATGATTCAGAAAACTTTAACGGAAGATTTGTCTATTTTTTTCTCTATCTGTCTTTCTATCTTTAACTACAACATTCTAAAGTTATTTCTAATTAAAACTGTCATGTTATTGTAAGTTATTTGTCTGTCCTATTGAATGAAAGATGCCAACTTACATTTCAAGATTCAAAGAGAATCAAATCAAAGTTTCTCATTTTAGTTTTCTTTTTTTTTGTTTTGTTTTACTTTTCAATCAAAAAAGAAAAAGAAAAATGTTCTAATTTGATTCTAAACTCATTTGTAACCAAACATCATTCACAATGTTACTTTTGTTTGTTACTATATCTTCTTCTCTGATTCGGTTATCACATAATAAGATAAGGAGTGTAGTTTATTTAAATTTTAAAAGCTCATTTACCATTCTGTCATGTTCATTCATGTACATTTATTCTCATTTCTATTCTCTGTTTTTTTTACTTTCATTTGTTTCCATTCTGTTCACTTGTATCCGTTGACCGTTTATTAACTTTTTTTTCAACTTTTTATTTATTCTTTTGGCCATCTCCACATCAAAATGAAACGAAACGAAACGAAAATGATTTCCAAAATGGAAAAATGAAAACAAGTTTTTTTTGGATGTCTCTTTTTGTATGTGTGTGTGTGTGTGGTGATTTGTCTAGTTAGTAGCCCTTATTTTTATTATTATGATGATAATTCAATATTGAAGAGTGCTTAAGGCTTTCATAATGTTCATAGAGTAAAAAAATAGATTTAAAATCTTTGTTGAATTAAAATTCAATGACCGCTGTTGGAAACTTTACTATGATTTCTGACAGGAAAATGAATTATTCAAACAGATTTTAAAAGTTAAAAAATTTATTCTCTTTTTTCATTTTCTATATGGAATTAATTTCAAATGTTAGTGGTGCATTTATTACAAACATTGGTTGATTTTTTTACTATTTCGATTTAAAAATTATAATTATTATATTCGATTCTATTAAAAAATGAAGAAATTTTTTAAAATATATTATTAATTCGATCTGTTTAACTTTTCTGATGATTATAGGTATAAGCGAATATCATGTGATTGAAGGTGATAGCATAAGCTTACCATGTAATATAACCAAACATGAATGGAATCAAGATCTAATATCATTGATCGTATGGTATCGATCGAAAAATCAAGGCATACCAATATATTCGATCGATACACGAACACATCAACAACGTTTGCGGCATCAAATAATGCCTGAATTAAATGGCCGTGTACATATGGATTTTCAGACTGATCCACCAGTATTAAATATCGATGATGTTCAAATTGATGATGCCGGTGATTATCGTTGTCGTGTTGATTATCGAATGAATCGAACCAAACATTTTCTCATACATCTCAACGTATCGGGTAAGTTTTTTTTTCTCATTCCTTTTAGTTGTTAAATAGTATATTTTTCTGGTTGATCAAATAGATCATTGGCCATTTTTACATTTTCTTTTTGTTGTTGTCTTAATTGACGGCCGAATAATATCGATTGAATAATATCAATCATTTGCAATTTTTTTTTCTCTTTCATTCTTGGTCAAGAATTTCATCGACGAAATATACTACAAACAACATAAATAACAAAAAGTGAATGTTGATTAAGTTTTTTTTCAAATCATTCTTTCGATTGTTAAGTTTTATTTTTCCACTGTTCTGATCATTTTTTTTCAACTGACTTACTAAAACTATTTGAACAATAGCCACAATTCTAGAGATGTTTGTGTAGTTTTTTCTCCCGATTTCAATTTCGTCGCTAACTTTGATTTATGAGTATAGAATTCTTATATTTTAATGTAGATATTGCACAAAAAAAAAATTCTGAGAAACAGTGGTAATCTATCCACAGTATTAGTGCATGTGACATGTAGCTAACATACTTACACTAAAATTTTACCGATTCATCGTTATATAAAAGACTCACTGAATTCAGCCACTCCACACATTCACACTAATCTTTACTAATTCTTCTGTACTATAGGGTGAAACCTTAGCAAAACTCAGAATTTTATTATTATTATTTACTGATATTGATACACTGTCCATCCGTTGTTTGTCACATGGTCATCAAATCTTTTTGAATTGTTTCAAGCTTATAACCAAAAAGTTATAAGTTTATGTTATTAGAAAAACAAGAAACGAACAAATTTTCTTCATTATTTTTTTTCATTTTGATGGAACAAAAGAACAACAATGCATCTATTTCTTCTATCAACAATGACTTCACTTTGTCATATTTATATCAACATCACAAGGAGATTTTCTTTTCTTTTTTCATAATTGTCATATAGTAATATATATCGATTGCTTACATTGACATTTTATCAATGTATCATCATAGCCTTTTTCTCCTTTCTTTTTTTTTATTCATTTCATACGTATTGTTTTTGACATTGCCAAAATCGTATCAATTTTTATAACACCGGATTTAATACCAATGTAGGCGGTAGATTAGGTTATCATTCTTATTTTATTCTTTGTTTTGATTTTTTTCCCCACCGTTCAAGCTTCATAATAAAAAATGATCTCTATATTGAAAAAAACAACAACCGAAACAAAATGAAATAAATGAAAAATGATAATATTAAGTACATAAGAAACTGGACTTGAAAACAATCAAATAAAATCGAACAAATTTTTCTTATCTCAATTTTTTTTATATTCTCTTACAAGATTATGATACTGATGATAATGAGAAATGACCTTTTGCTTAATTCTGTTCTTTCCTTTGTTCGATAATAATTTATTGAATTTTTTTTTTTGACTGAATTTTATTTCTTATTGAATTTAGATAGCATTTTTTTCCATAGAATTTAAAAGATTTTTATAGCCATATGTTTATAATCTTACATAATAACAACACAAATGCCTTTTGGTAAGAAAAAATAAATTCGAGAATATCGAAAATATTTTTTTTCAAAAAAAAGTTTCCTCAGATCATGACGATGATGATGATAATGATTCACTTGAATTTTTACACAAGTTTTTATGATTCTTGTGATGATGATGATGATGAGGAGTCAAGTATATATTCGAAAGTTGCAAGTTTTTTTCACTTCTGTAAAATTCTTTTTCACAAAAAAATATTACAAATAAAGTAACGATGTGATTTTACTTGTTACGGAGTTTTTTTCTGAATGGATGAATAAATAAATGTGTATGTGCAAGTAGATAGATTGAATTCTTATTCATAATAATGGCTATAGTTCTGATGATTATGACGATGATGATGATGATGATGATGGCGTGATGATCGATGTGTGTCGACAGCCGCTATTGCCGCTTCTGTCATCATCATCATCATCATCATCATTGTATTTATGATTCTTTCCTAAAGAATCTTTCTTTTCTCTTTTTCCCCTATTCTTGATCTATTGTGTTTATCATCATCGTCATTAACACGCGAAAACCTTTCAACTCTCAATCATTTTCTTTTCTTCTTCTTTATCATTCTCGATTCTGTTGTTGTTGATGGACTGGCATTCACCCTATTTAATTCATCGATATTTTATTTTTTTTCATTTCATTTCACTTTACATAATTTTTTTTAAAAAAAAACAGCAACAACAACGCCGAAAAAATTTTCAGAAAAAGATCAATGTGATAGTTTGGAAAAAAATTTGAATCATTTTTTCCTATAGTAATTTAATGGAATATTAGTACAAAAAAAACTATATATATGTTGAATACATTAATTCAATATTTGTTCTCATCACAAAATTTTATGATGTTTATTAGAAAAAATAATCAAAATTCAAGTTGTTCAATATTTTCATTCTCCCCTTCTTTTCATTTACAATTGAACAATCATTTCATTCAATAATGATCTGATAATATAATTTATTTTCCATACAATCAATAATGATCAGATATCAATGAGAAAATAATGGCGTAAATTCCAATTCGATCACGCGTTTGTTTGTGTGTGTGTGTCTGTGTCGATGCAAATTATTTATATTTATAATATTTACTTGATTTTTTTTCTTCTTCCTCTTATCATCATCACCAATCATCATCATTTTGTCGTTTCATTATTCATGTTTTTATATATACAAACACTAAACAATCTACTTCGAATTTTTTCTATATTCATCTGGTTTTTTTCATTTTTCTCTTCCTTTCATTTTTTCTTTTCTGACAGCCATACCCAAAAATGTTACTATCCGTGATTTACTTGGTAACATAGTCCAAGGACTAATTCGTACGCCATACAATGAAGGCGACAATGTAATATTATTCTGTGATGCTATTGGTGGTAAGTGATTTTATCAATATATCTTTTCTTTTGTTGTTGTTTGTTTGTTTGTTTGTTATTCCTGTTTTTTCCCCTTAGTATTTTTTTTATACACAAACACTTTAATACTGGAATTTTTTTTACTGCTCCCTATTCTCATTCCATTTTCGGTTATATCATATCATATTTTGAAGAAAATGTGCATGAAAGTGTGTGTTTGTGAATTGCCCAACCAAACGTTAAACTATTACAACAATATCTCTCATTTTTGTTTCAGCTATTATTAATTGACAGAATTATTTGTTATTAATGGCATTATTGTATCGGGCCTATCTTGTTAGATTTGTTTTTTTTGTCTTTTTCTTTATTATTTTCATTTAGTTATGTAACCCCGAACGTTAAACCAAAAAACCAAACCACATATATCAATATACACGCACACGTTATTCATCAGTGTTTTTTTTTATTTTCTTTTCTAAAACAATTTATTTCGATCGATGATTTCTATCATCCTATCTGAAAGTTATAAATTAGAATGCCATACATTCATTTTTATTCAATTTTTTTTTTCATTCGACCGCATTAACTTTTATTCGTTATACGAATCTCTAATAATAATAATAATAATGATAATAATGTATGTATTATGATGATATAATGGTTGGTTTCTTTGGTTTTCTTCATTCACATACATGTATAACTATATGGAATGTTTCTACACACGCTAACTTTTCATTCATTCTGGATAATAATGAATGGAGAAAGAAATTGCATAGAAACACAATATAAAAACTGAAAACAATGTATTAATAACAATAAGGAAGTATGATGATAATATATAGATCAAAGAAAAGAAAGACAAACAACAACAACAACAACAAATCTTTTGATTATTAGAAATCATTATATAATATTTAGGGATAAAATTAAGAAATTTTAGTCACGTTTAATATATTAACCAATAGGGAAAAAAATTCTGATCCATCTTCATCATCCTATTATAATCAACTTTTGTTTTTAATGAAATCTAAATAAATTAAAACGATTAATGAGAGAATTTTTTTTTCTCAAGTTTATCTAAATGGATAAATATTATTGAAAAAAAACTTTTCAACATTTTCATTTGGGAATCGAATTTGAATTTTTTCGAAAATTTTCATTTCAAACAGAATTTTTTGTTTGTTTATTGTATGTGTATGTGAATGAATAGATGATAATTATTTGAAAATTTTTCATCTTTCGAAAAATAATTCCAGTAAATATAGTTTTTCGATCATTAAATGTTTCATTTTTTTCATAAATATATTTATTTACATTTTTGTTTCCCATAGGTTCACCACCGCCAGTTGTGATTTGGAAAAATAATGATGGAAAAATTATTGATGATTCATATGAATTTTTAAACACTGATGATAATCATACAAGAAATCGTTTGGAAATAACACAAATAGATCGAAATTATTTATTAAAAGAGATTATTTGCGAAGCCTATCCACCATCATTCATTTCGAAATCTTCATTATTATCATCATCTTTTTCCACAAATAAATCTCATGAATTTAAAATAGTTTCTGATTCTGTTACTAATACAACTGCTGTTACCACTACTACAACAACAATGAATACCTCGAAATCTTATTTCGGTAATCATCATACAAATCTTGATATACAAAATAAAATTATCCATAATAATAATAATAATAATAATAATCGTCACATCCATCACCATTCATTCGTACGACGAACATCCGTTTTACTCGATTTGAATTGTAAGTCAATTTTTATTTATTTCTTTTATTTATTATTATTATTAGTTTATATTGTTGCATATTTATCTATGGTCTGCATTCTGTTTTGGTAGAATATATTTACCCTAACAATATATGACATAACAAACAGTTTTTCAAACAAAAACAAAAAAATAAAAATAACTTTTACTGTTTTCCCAGATGATTCAAATATATGATTATCGTTTTCTTATATTCAATTTTCGTATATGTGAGTTTAGTTTCAAGAAATAGCATAAGAATCATTGCCATTGGCTTAGTATTAACTAAATATCATAAAGCTGCCAATAAGAAGAGAATGAATTGATATTGAAAAAAAATTGCATAAGAAAAACTGGTAAAAAGAGAGAGAGAGAAAGATAGAAAAAAATTTGCAATTGGCCAAATGTAATCAGAACGAAACGAAGGTGGTGCTTTTAGTTCGTGATTGGTACTTTACTCTGTATTTATTTATTTTTTTTGTGGTTGTTATCTACGAACCCTGATGATGTTGATATGGATTCTGCATTCAACAAAGCACATCACAACAAAAAGTAAAAAATAAAAAAAAACAACCACACCAACTTAAATTGATAATTCAATTTACTAACTTTACATTCATGGCCAAGATCTCTATCTTCATTATCTGTTGTTCATACAGACAAACACATACGAACACGACAACAACAACAGTTATAGCTACTATTCATCAATGATTTTCTTCATCATCATGTTCAATAGTGTTCGTTATAATCTAAATTCTAAACGAACGTAAATAATAATGATAATAAACTAGGAAATATGAGATGTCTATTATTGAATGATTTTTTTCCTGTTGTTGTTACTTTCAAGTTAGCTTACATGCTTTTAGATTCAATAAGAAATGATTTTTTTTCCGATTTTATCAACTGTCCAATTTTTTCCCATTTTTCCAATTTTCTATTGAAAACCGAGACAAAAAAAAATGTTATTGAAAATAGTCGAAATAGCCGAAAAAAATATTGTATAGATAAATCGGAATTAAGTAATATTTCTATTCGATTCTTCGGTGTGTCATTTCTTTCAAAGAATTTTTCTTTCATTTAGTTGCAAATTTTTTTTTCTTGATATCCCCAATACGACTATGTGTTTATGACAACGACACGTGTGCAATTTATTACATTTTTTTTTCATTTTCTTGTTGGTCACTCATAAAGTAAAAAAAGGGAAATAATAATTTTTCTTAAGAGGAAAACAAAAATAAATAATAATAAAAAAACGGAAAACTTTTGATTTGATGACGGAATTTTTGTTTTTGTTGTTTGATAACAAAAAGCGAGCGAGTTAGTTAAAGGAAAACAACTTGGATACATTTGTTAAAATTTTGATCAAATAAAGTTTTTTTTTTGTTCTAATGAACAATTGAATTCGAATTAGATTCAGAAAGTGAAAAAGACGAGTAAATGTACACGATTATTAATGGATGTAATTGCAAAGTTCAAATTATTATTATATATGATCATTTTGATTTTATCCGAATCATTTTAAATTGATTAAAATAATAATCATTGATGTCATTGCCACATTGACTAACAATAATAATATACCAATTATGTTTTATTATTATTATTTTCTTCATATTAATGAAATTTTTCTATGTATTACAAAACAGTACGGCCATTATCCGTTCAAATTCAAGTGCCAACCAATTTTCAGGCCAATTTAAATCGTTCTTCATTGTCCGGAACTTCGTCATCATCGTATATGTCTGTGCCATCTGGTTTTGGACTACCGCCATCATTATCATCATCATCATCATCATCATCATTGTCAGCAATTGGTTTTACAACAACAACAACATTTGGTAATGTTTTGGTCTTGTCAGCCGGTAAAAAAACGGAAATTGAATGCCGTACATGGGGAAGCCGACCACCAGCTGAAATCACTTGGTGGAGAGGTTCTAGACGTTTACCAACTGCAGCTTCACGTTTACATTTTACTATTGAAAATGGTAGTTATGTTAATAGTTTATCATTTTCATCAGATTTATACGGAACCGAATCACCAACAACATTATCGGAACAACAAACTTCAGCCAATCTTTCTATCTCAATATTAACATATATAGCAGCACCCGAAGATGATGGTCAAAGGTTGACTTGTCGTGCTGATAATCTACATCTAGAACATGAAGAAATTGAAGATTCAGTCATCATTTCAGTTAAATGTATGTATCATTAACAAATTTTTGTTGTTGTATCACAATCCTATCATTATTCATAGTTGTTTTTATTCCAATTCGGTTGTTGTTTATAATACTGTTTGGAAGTGAAGAAAAAAAACTTGAAACGCTTTTGTTTGTCTACAAACATTACCGGTTTTGTCATGGATAACTTATTTTGGAATGAATAAATTTTTCATGCTAATTTTTCATTCATTCATTCACTCATTTTATTTGTGTTTGAGAGTTTTTACATTCTCAACTTTTAATTCATTTAATGTCAAAACTGATGCTCTCTTTTTTTCAAGAGCATGTCTATTTTCATTGTTCACGAATTCATTATTTAAAATTTATTATATTCCATTTCATTTACTGTCTCATGATTCGTATGACTATAGTCTCGTGTCGATTCTATTTTCAACATGATATAGAAAATATTTGTCATAGTTATTCATAGAATTTGATTCAAATGAAATTGAAATGAAAAAAGAAATCGGAGCTTCTCGAAAATTAGAAAGAATGGGAAAGTTTTATTATTATTATTTTTGTTTTCACTGATGAATTTATATTTTTTTTTCAAACAAAAACAAAAAAAAAATCTTCGGCGATGATATGTGAAATTGAGAATAGAATTTTTCCATTTCTTTTTCTATCAATGACATAACAATCAAACAAATTGTCAACCATAAATACATGAACAATCGTTTCTATCATTCAAACATTCATTCGTTTATAAAGATTCTAAAGTATGAAAAAATGATGATGATTTTTTGTTTCAACTTAAAATATTGATAATTTAATTGAATAAATGAATGATGGTTTCGATGATGATGATAAATTTGGTTAATAATATCAGTTTACATGAAAATCCGGGAGAGAATAATTTTGTTTTTCGTTTGATGATCGAGAGAGAGAGAAAAAAATGAATTTGATGAACAGAAACGGGTTTATGCTGATGATAGAATTTTTTTTCATATTTATTATTAAATTTAATATTTGTTTGGTTGTTTGGGGATGTGTCTGCTAATAATAATAATCACTTGGTGTGTTTTTTGGTGTACGTACGTGTTATGTTCACTCGGTATTGTATGAACTCATTTCTTTCAAATAAATGATGATGATGAGGATGATGATGGGAAGAGGAAGATGTATTTGTTAATGTTTGCTAATGTTGTTGTCGCTCGTTTTGGAACAATCCATTTTTTTCTTTTGCTTTTTGCTCTGCATTCTTACTGAAATTGATTTATTATTATTCTGTTCTGTCACATTGAATAATAGTCGCCATTTTTTCAGCCATTTGAGCCAATTCATTTTTTTTTTGGAATCTTTGTATTTATATACACACATTTTATTATTGTTGAATATAATAGCCATCTTTTTAAATAGAAGTTATCTTTGATTTTACACTTCATTTCATTTTCGAATTTAATTCGCAATTGTGATTTTTTTTTCTTTCTTTATTTTTTCTTACTTGTTCGTGGTTCTTCTCTTGATATCACTAACCGACGAGTAGATAAAGACAAGTTAGATTAAGAATTTCATACAAATTTTTCTTTAGTTTTTTTTCTAACATGAAAAAAAAGAATACTGTTCATCTTTTTTTTTGTCTTTTATATGTAGATTGTCAAAGTTATTGTATATGAATTGAATGAAATAGTCGTATTTTTTATCAACTCCCCCAGCCTAAAAATCATACATCATAAATTTATTTCTCTATTCTCTTCTATACATCGGATGAAGATTATGCCACCATTTTGTTTTTGTTTTTTGAATTATTAGACCAGTTTGTCTTTTTTTTCATTATTGTATTCTTTATTTCTCTTAAATATACATTTTTTTGGTAGAAATCATACAAAAAAAACATATCCATTCGATAATTTGCGAATTCATCTCATTAGAATATAAGTTCATCATTATTAATATATAATATGATGTAGGTCAACCAAGCACACACACAAAAAGAAAAAGAAAAACCAAAATGAAGAAAAAAAATATGAAACAGAATCACTGCATAACTGGAAACATCAGATTTCAAATTCAGACTCATACAAGACATTAATGGGCATCAATAATGTTCAGGCTATTATCGGTTTATGTTTTCTCCTTTTTTTCTCTTTTTCTCATGCTACATGTTACCATTTTTCCCTTGTTTCCGGTGATAAGGCTATACAATAATATGTTCGATGATGAAGATGATGTGAATGATGATGATGATGGGCGAATGAAATTCTAGTCTATTGTGAATTATAAATCAACAAAACAAAATAATAATAATAATAATAATGTCCGGAAAAAAACTTGGTTGTTTCATTTTTTTCTAGCTTAAGAAAACAACAAAAATACCAAAATAAAAACAACAACAACAACAATAACAAAACAATAATCATAATCATTTCGACTAACCCCCAACCAAACAAACCAAAACAATCAGATCAATATTACTATACAAAGGATATGAGAATATAAATAAGGAAAGGGAAAAAATGCCTGGTAAATTCTATATGGAATTGATTTTTGTAACAATACAATTTGTAAAATGCAAAAAAAAGAACTCATTCGTTTCATTTGAATTTTTTTCTGTTACCAACCAGATGCTCCACAATTGACTTTATCGTTAGGAGCAAAAATACCTGAAAATATTCGCGAAGGTTCGGATGTTTATTTTGAATGTGCATCAAAATCAAATCCTCCATTATCCGAAGTTGTTTGGCTTTTTGAAGGCAAACCATTAACCAACGATCCGGTCTCAGGTGTTTTGGTTACTAATCAATCATTAGTAATGCAACGAGTCAGTCGTGAACATCGTGGTAATTATCAATGTGCTGCATCTAATCCAGAAGGAATCTCGGCAAGCAATAAAGTTTTCCTCAACGTACACTGTAATGAATCTTTTTTCATTTATTTTATTTTCATTAATTATTTACATTATCACATGATGATCATTATGATGATGAGAATGATGATTTATTTTCCATTTTTTTCTGATATAATAGTTGCTCCAGTATGTAAACCAACTCAGACTATAATCTATGGTGTTGCCCGAACCGAACAAATTCGTGTATCATGTGAAGTCGAAGCCGAACCGGTAACACCAATCCAATTCCGTTGGTTTTTTAACAACTCACTTGAAAGTTATGAACTATCTCGTAAAGATTATTCACTTGAAATACTTTCACCTAATTCATCGATTGAGAAAAGCAAAAAATTCTTCAACAATCCAAATATACTAAGTCAATTATCATTGGAAAATGTATTCAGTACGATTGCATCAATGAATCATCATGAAGAACCAAGCGTCGCTCGTAGTAATGCAACATATTCTCCACGTAGCCGTATTGGTTATGGCCTATTATATTGTATGGCCGAAAATTCGGTTGGCAATCAACATGATCCATGCATCTTCAAAATTGTGGAAGCAGGTTTGTTTGTTTTTTTCCTTTTCACTCATATACTCTCATTTGAATAATAATAAAATTTATGCTATTTATATATTGATTCATCTTTGTTTCATTAACAATTCAATTGCATTCACTTTCCATAAATAATATTCATTTCTATTTGTTTTCATTATTTGATTTGTTTCAATCCATGCGATAAGAATGCGATAAATATTTATTCAACTAGGTAGATAGTACAAAAGCAATTATCTTTAATATCTTTGAATGAACAAAGAATAAAAATTATCGTAAGACAACATTATAATGGTTCATCATTATCATCAAATGTATTACACTATCATCATCATAACCATCATTTGATATTTTATTTAATGCAAGTTAAAATATAATACATGTTATGCAGTTTAAGCTTATGATTCATTGAAAAAAATGTAAAACACTATAGTGTGTTCGTAATGATGATCGCTGTACACTTAATTTCTTCACAAATTTATATTTTCTTTTATATTCCACAATACACACACGCATTTTTTTCTAATATTCTACTATTCATCCAAGGTAATGATGAATAATGGTTTCAACTCATTATGTACGCATCCAGAAAAAAAAGAAAAATCCATACCATTTCTATTCTTCTTGAATGTTGTTTTGTTTTTATTCAATCCTAACATCATTTGATAATACACTTTGTTATGGTGAATAAGAAGAAAAAATGATGATGATGATGTTGATAGCCATCATAACATCATTTGACATTATATTACTATTTTTTTCTTCATAATAAAAAAGGGGCAACTTTAAAGAATAGAATTCTATACGAATTTTTTTTATTCCGTTATGCTTTAAAGTTTTCATACATCCATCAACAAAAAAAAATTTATCGATCATTGTCCATGAATAGCATCAGCTTCTTCACTAATTCATATACATTGATTATACTCATCTATTCTGGTGATGGTTATGGCTGGGATAGAGTGAATTTTTTTCCAAAGCTCAATTTCTTCTACACACATGTATATTCACCACTATATTTTGGCTTTTCTTTTTCATAAATATCCATCCTTGTCAGCAAACCAAAACGTTTTTTTCTTCATCTTGTAAGTGTGTTCAAAAATGTTTCTAACACTCAATAACACTTGGATTCTTGTCGCCGGTCGTCATCATCATTCGGGTGTTTGATAGCGTGAATTACAAAATCAATAACTCTCATCATGCATTCTTTTTCTTTTCATGTTTTTTTTAACGGCGTAAAAAATATAATGAAATAAAATGAAAAGTATATAATAATAATAAAAATCCTTGACTGTTATCTTTATCTTTTACAAATATTTTTTTGTTCCATTTTGAAATTGCAAAATAGATCTTCAGAATGCAATTGAATTTCTTTTACTTCAAGTCTTGTTATGATTTTTTACCGTCTTAAACAAAACCAGAACAAAACGTTTATAGATTTTCGATTCGTTTTTTTTTCGCATTATGGAATAAAACATATACTTTATCATTTGATTAGGTCCACCAAATTCGGTTCATGATTGTCGTATCGTTAATGTTACAATGACTTCATTTATTCTGGAATGTATGCCTGGTGAAAACGGTGGATTGCGACAAATATTTCATCTAGAAGTCTATAATATTGGTTCGTATTATTTGTTTGTTTTTTACCTTAACAATTCTTGTTGATTAATTCCATTAATTTTTTTTAATAAAGAAAAAGAACATTTACAGGCAAATGTAACAGCACGTGAAGAACCAGTATTCGCGGTCGAAAATCTTCCACATAATACGGCATTTATGTTAAATGTATTTAGTTCGAATGCAAAAGGACGAAGCGATTCAATCACATTACGTACGGCAACCAGTGCATATGCTGCCAAACATACTACCAATGGTAAAAGTAAGTTAGGAAAAATTCAAACATCTCTTGAAGGTAGTACATAAAAAGATAATCAGAAATGAAAATATTTTAAATAAATGATGAATTCAATTTACCGATATTTGTTCAAGTTACGAATCGTTAGGAAAAAATTCAAATTGGTCATCGGATGTCATTCTTTCATTGACATTTCATTTCATTTTTTTAGTTTGTTTTCTACTATTGTTTGTATTTATTGTTATCACTTTTTCATGTTTTATTTGGCACCATTCATTTTTCATTCACAATCTTTGATTTATTTTTTTAGCATTAGATCAGACACTTAGAATAATTTTTTATTTGTATTTACTATGTTTGTCACGTTTATTTACAAACGATGATCGCGTTTCTTTTGTGATTATTTTCTTTTATATATATCAACAATGATTGTGGTCAATTCGATTGATTCATACCAGCTGGGATTTTTTTTTGTTCACTTCTATGCATGTGTACGAATGCTATTTGATTCTTGATTTTTTTTTGGCTGATTACCAATATTTAACTAGTAAATCCTATATTATTAAACTTAAACTAATAAAGCATCAAAAATGGACAACTAAAAAAATAATCTGGTCATTTATTTATTTTAAAATAGAGCAAAGAGCCATCATATTAGATGATATCAATCATTTGATCATCAATCCAATATTTGGCGCATTAATTGTGGCCTTAATTTCATTGGTTCTATTATGTTTGGCAACAATGGTTTTTATACGAAGCCGATTCTGTTCAAATACTGATCAATCATCTTCATCGGCTAATCATCGAAAAGGTATTTCATACATAGGTGGGCCTGGATATTTCATTTCTAACAAATTTTGATACAGATGCAATACATTTAGCCAATAATATAAGCGAAGATAATAATTCAAAAAAAAGTTGTAGTTCTGATAAAAATCAAGATAATGAAAAATTTTTATCTTTATCGCGTTCGCCAACGTTGCCTTCTACATCAATGAATCAATTTCTTATACGTTCACAATTTCATTCCAATTCTCCATTAAATCCAACAGCAACATTTTATGAATATCAAACACATAATGTGAATGGATCAAATGCTAATCTCCACGAAAGAAATTCTACTCCCATGACGGAATTATCTTCGGTGATTAACAAATCACATGCCGAATCAAATCCATATTATATGACAACATCTGCTAATACCGAATTTATACCACAATCTTTGATACATAATAACCAATATTCAACGGGTGCAAGTGACCTTATGACCAACGCTTTTACTTATAATGTTGCTACGACTGGAACAAATGCAATTTATCCCATAACTAATGATATTGTTAAAATTGGCTCGATTACCTGTCCTTATAATCAAACAATCACAACGGCATCAAGACGTGTACCTCTTTTAAGGCCAATTGCCATCGAAAGTATTTCCTCGTCAACATCAGATAAAACAATGGATGATGAATGGACGCATTCAAAAAATGATAATACTTTTATACAATCTACTGATAATATTCTTGTGTCAAGAACTACTCCACAATTAGCTCAATTTCCACCATAATTGCCATGGATGATATTTCGCATAACTGGAACTGATTTGTGATTTGAATCCATTGTGCATTCTATATATTTTGATTTAGAAAAGATAAGACCCGGATCATGAGAAAACACCTAAAATCTTAATAGATTTTATCTTAATGATTATCGAGAGTCAATTTTATCTGTTGAAATTGATTATGAGAAAAATTAATTTGTTTTTCATCATTGAGCAATGATTTGTTATATTTTGAGTATATAAGATGCGACGATTCCATAATATCACATCCATACATTTTTTCTTCCTCTTTTCACAACCACCAAAAAAACGATCAAAATGATGAAATTTTTGTGCATCTTTGCTCTCACTTTTGCTGTCGCTTCAGCTGGCAAAATGAAATTTATCGACTGTGGTATGTAAAAAATTTATGTCAATTGAAGTTTATTCCTTTCATTGATATCATTTCATTTCATTATAATTTTTTTGTATTAGGACACAATGAAGTTAAATCTCTTGATGTTTCTGGCTGTGAAGGTGATTACTGTGTCCTCCATAAAGGCAAAACAATCAATCTGGATATGGTATGCAAATCCAATCAAGATTCGGAACATCTTAAATTAGTTATTTCTGCTGATGTAAATGGAATCGAAATCGAAGTTCCCGGATTCGATCAAGATGGTTGCCACTACATTCAATGCCCAGTTCACAAAGGTCAACAATATGATGTCAAATACAGTTACACTATTCCATCAGTTCTGCCAAATATCAAAGCAAATCTTACCGCTAAAGTCACCGGTGATCAAGGTTTACTTGGTTGCTTGAAACTTCAAGGTGAAATTGCTGATTAGATACTTTTGTAATTGAACTTTTTATTGAGTGTTTCAATAAATTGAATATTTGTTTATTAAAAAATATATTAAATGATTTTTTTTATATAAAAACAAAACAACAATATGTAATTTATTCGCAAAAAAAAACGTTTGAAATTATTAGTTACAATCAAGAAATTGGATTAATTGATCAATGAAACAAATAAGCTGTTCAAATTTTTTGACATTTGATTTTTGACATTCATTTTTTAATTCATTCAAATTTTTTTTGATTTGTGAATCTTTGTCATCTGAATATTGAATGTTTAGATGAGTTTCAATGAAAGTAGTTCTGATTTTCTCAATTAATCCATCCATTCGTGAATTTTCTGACCATGAACATGAATTGTCGACATTTGTGATTGCAACATTATCTTCACTCTCCTCTTCTTCATCCGACGACTCTATTGTTGATAAAGGATACCGACTGAATTGACTTATCAAAGCTAAACAACGTAAACGAATTTGAATATTTCGATTCCAAAGATAACGGATTACAGAACAGATAAAATCTTGATGTATGATAAATTTTTCTCGCAGATCAAAACGTTCAGGACCGGAAAATATTTCCGTTAGAACTTCCAAGGTTTGACGCTTAGTAACATAGTCTTCTGTTAATTCAGCATGTTCTAATAATTTGATCAATGATTCGAAAAAATTATCACTGTCCACCACCAGAATCTCGGTCGTAGACTTTTTATGTTTTGACATAAGTGTTTTGAATGTATAAAAAACGTCCATTGTCACATCAAATGGATAACTTGATGATTGTCTCATGTAATCAAAAAAATTATGAAAAAAATTGGATTGTAAAATTTTGAAAATAATAGGCTCAAATTGTGCAGCAAAACGTAGAATACAACCTATAATTATCAGATAAATTTTTAAAAGTCATCATTCAATATGTAATTCAAATAGCACACATACCGCAATTTAGCGTAACATCACTTTTTCCATATTCATAGCTTTTCACCAATGAATGCAATATTTGATTTGAAGAATCACAAAAGTACTCGACAATTATTTTATTATTTTTCACATCAATCGTTAATGAATTTGTTAATATGATTCTGGCCAGTTTTTTTTCTTCGAAACCAATATTTGGTATCGAATCAACTAATAAATTGAGTATATTACTTTCAATAAGTTTATGGATCGAATTTTCAATTATGCTTTCAATATAAATAGATTCGTTTGGTGTCAATGTAGGATCTTTGTCATTAATATTATTTAGTAATAGTGAAGATGATCGCTTACTACGAAACAATTGTCCACCGTCTACAAATGCTGAATAATGACGACGAAGTTTAGACTTTTGTTTTTCGTAATTATTGTTTGTCGCAAATTCTTTTGCTTCTATGTTAATGATGTTTGTCGAGTGAAGTGTTTTTGTGAATTCACACATTTCGATCAATGTAACTATGCAAGAATTCAAGGATTCTAATGCTTTTAATAATGGACCATCGTTATTATGAATTTGATCGACCCAATTGATCAAATTTAACAAGCGAACATTACGATCAAGAATTTTGGCCAGATGTTTTCCAAAATCACTGTTAAATTTAGGATTGGTTCCAGCATGATAATGAAATCGTAACGAATGAAGACTATATGAAAGATTGATTGGACTATGGCTGTCCAATGAGATTTGTTTTAACAAACGCATCATTCAATTGATTGCTGTTTCAAAAAGATACGTATCAATTCCCATTCAATAAACTATTCGAAGAAAATCACAAATTTTTAATGATGAAACTTTATCCATTAAGAAGTTTGAGAACGGATTCATAGTCCATTCTATTGCTTATAATAATATGATCTTGATTGACAGAAAAAAATGTAACAAAAAAATTCATCTCATCAATTTTTTGGTAAAATGTTGAATAAAGAAACCAATAAAGAAAAATAATTGTCGTCAAATTAACCACAAAGGACAAATTGTCAGAGCAAAAGTTTTTTTGTCACTCAAATCACTCAAATAAATGCATCAAGACACTTCAGAAAAAAATTAAAATAGTGAAAAAGTAGCGAGCAACAGGTGAGCATATTATTGTTGTTTATATTTTGGATATTGTTGTTTAGCAAGATCGTTTGAAACAAGTTACCTGAGAGAAATTCAAATTAATGAGGGAAATTGTTTGAAGAGAAAAAGTGTAAACCAAAAAGAAAAAGAGAAAGTAAAATGAATTATCCATCGCCACGAAGACGCAGGCAGATTTAAATTTCACACTCTAATGAATATGAAATGATGTGTTAAAGCATGTGATGATGTAGAATACAACCATCGAATTGACTTGGACTATATGGCTATAAGGATTACCAATCCAATATTTATTGACGTATTTGAATTCATCAAATCCCCATTGATCATATAATTTTTGTCTTCTCTGTCATATTCGTTTTCTCATTTTTGTTTCATGTGTATAATAAGAAATAAACTAAAAATACAGATTATCATGTTTGTTTGACATTCTAATTGATTGATAGCTATGTTTGATTAGGTGATGACGAATCGAATTATGTATGATAATCATGCGATATACAAGTGGGATTTAGGTCGCGCTACGAATAAAAACCATTTCTAAAAAACAAAAATCGATGGCGCGATTTTTTTCTTTGATCAATCAAAATTATTTGTGCAATTTTTTCTTTGCCGTATATATGATCTTGTTTTTTGTTGTTGATCAAAGAGTCTCCAAAGAGTTTTTATCAACATTGATCAATCGTTGTCCCCTATGTGGCCTAAAATGATTAATATTGGCTAAAACTATTCGTTTTATCCAACAAAAATACAATTTTATTTGATCAAATTTCTAAACCGAATTAATTGAATGATGTCAAATTCTTTACTGTCATTTATATCGGTTATATTATCATTCAAAGAAAATTAATCATCAGATAGACTTTATTAACGCCTATATTATTCATTTTTTGGAATGTGGCCAAAATGATTAAAAATTATAAATCATAATTTATATCCTCCACATTCTCATTTAATTTTTTAAAGATATCTCGATTGAGACTAAAAAAATAGCGATTTGGAGCAGATCATTGATAGATATCCAGCATTTGATTATCATTTAGCTAATAATATAACTTGGACATCTATAATTGATTGTTAAAATTAATCAGGCCATTGAATAAACACTCGACTCAAATTTAATAGATAATAATTCTCAAGGATTAGAAATTTTTTTAATGAAGGTCAGGTTTCTCCATCAAACCAAATATGATTGATAAATTTTTTAAAATAATGGATGAAAAGGTATGAAATACAGCAATAAATTTTTTGAAAATTGATTTGTTTTTTTTCAATTGATAATTTGCAAACATAGAATTTATATACAAAAAAAGAATAGAGTATTCAATTTATAAATTTCATGCAAAAATGGAATTTCGCGAATGAATCAATTTTTGATAAATAAAATAAAATTGTTCTACTACAATTCAAATCTTGCAAATTTCAACGAGTGATCATGTTCTTGCGCTATTAGTGTAGAAAGAAATGAATTCACACAACGTGGTCCGGAATATGCTTCAATACTTTCGTTATTGGCTTGTTGTTCATATTTTACGCATCCATCAGAGATTACATCAAATCCGCACTGTAGATCATAAATTTGTCTTAGTAGCAATGTTTTTGAAAAGAATTCATCCTCATTCCTTAGCCTTTGTTGTTTCATCATATTTTCGGCCAGATTCACGTTTATATGCTCCTCCAAATTACGGATCCAATTTCGATACAGGAAAAATGGACCATTAGTGGCCGAACTTAATATAAAAAATGGCCATCGCCTAGGATAATTGTGAGGGATGATAATGTAGACATTCCATTCGCTTAAATTGGATTGTTGAATGGATGAAGAATCTAATAGTTCGCATCTGAGAATCAATTTGTAAATAAAATTATTTTGATCAAAAAGATCATTACAAAATGCATTGCCATCATCAACATCTTGTTCAAAGTATTCTATTAGATTTTTCTTCTGATATGAATCAAGTTCGTTGATCAATTCTTCACTAGAAATTCTGTCGAAAGATTGAATAAAACATCTGGGCTTAGTGAATATTAAATTTTGACCATTTGAAATGACTGAATTATCAAATAAATTCACATCAATAAATTTGTTAAAACGTATATGATCGAGTTGTTGTTGTAAATTGATTCTTGATCTAAAACGATGGATCATTGTTCTGATTGTTTTATCTAAACAATCTATTGCTATAGATGATTTAACATGTATGATACCGCTACTGGAAAGCAATGGATTTTCGTCGGGATTTAAATATTCAATACCAGCGATTCGTTGCGTCCAATCATAAGTGTAGCCGATTTCAGGTATTAAATTCGAATATGAATCAATGCCAAAACGGGACAATAGATATTCAATTTTTGCATTCGGACATTTCAAACCAGTATCGGTTGAAGAAAGGAGCTTAGTAAAAATATTGTTATCGTGATTGATCACTGAAAATTTCGGTTCAGTCAAATTAGAAGATGAAAGGCTATCGATTTTGTAAGTGAGACCAACCAATTCTATTAATGTAAAATAATATTGCATTAAACTTTGAAATAAAATCCTGCAAATACTTACCAAGTTTAGGGAAATAGGTGAAAATACATATGATCTGGTAACTATGATAACGAAAATTTATGGATATTTTAATCGGATGAAACGTTAGAAGTTTACTGTATCTTGAATGAAAATCATTTTTCGAATCTGGATTCGAAGTAATATCTGTTGAATGTTCCATCGAATGGCGTTGTGAATGATAACGAGACTTTTTCGATTTCTTTCTACGATCAGATTCCTCTTCTTCGTCTTCGAATTGTAATCCATTGTCTTCATCAGTTTCTTTCTGCAGACTATTCACTAAGGATAGTATGTTTGATTCATTTTTTTGTTTTGATTCAAATTCTCGAGCATCTTCAGCAGATCCTTGTATGGTAACCTCATAATCTAAATCGAAAGCACTTTTGTATGCACAAAGCTATAACAATAAATAGGGATAACATTAATTTTTAAAATTTTTGCAATGATTCGTTCAATCAGACATACTTGAATGTAAAGTACATAAAGTGGTTGCGAGAGGAATGATGTTAAAATGTTAGAAGTATCGTAAACTTGTAATGGAACATTTAGATGTGATACTAATGGCTTGGAAGCTTCGATTATATTTTTCAAGGTCGGATCGAATTGTGATAATGTACGTTTTTTTGTCGCTATTTCCACTTCCAATTTGAATCGCGATTCTTCAGACATTTTTAATTGATTTTCTGCAGATATACGTTGTTTAAGTTCCCAATCAAGTCTGGCCAAATGTAATTTGTGAAGATCTTCACTCGAAGCGATATCTTTGTTAAATTTCACTGATGTGTTCGAAACAACGAGCAAATGTTTTAGTTCGTCCGGAAAATGATCGGAAACAAGAAATTTATCCTCATGTACCAGATCTAAAGATTCATCTTTGGAACGGAATGAAGCACAGGTTTTTTGCTCTTTTTGAAGATGCATAACTTCATATTGAATATTCTGCAACTGCAAATGAATTTGATCTACTTTATCTTTGCCCAACGATATTTTTTTCCGTGCTTCTTTCAGACGATATTTATCCAAGCGATTAAGATTTTTTATTTCCATTAGATACATTAATCCTTTAACTTTAATATCCGAAAGTGTTTCATCCATGCATTTTGAAGACGAATTCTCATTTTTCAGTTGACATTTTGCCTTTTTATTTTCTAGGATCGTTTTGATCAATTCTCTAAGATGGGACGAAACGACTTTAAATCTGTCGAAATCTTCAACAGATTTTTTATCTGAACTTGGATCAGCCAATGCTTCAAGTTCTTCTTGGATATATCCATTATAAGTCAATTGATGGCATTCATTTGGATCTATTTTGACAGAGTTATGAACGGCTGATGATTTAGATGTTTTAGAATTGGAAAAGCTGATCAAATAAAATGGATTGCAAAATTATTAACCTGAATAGTAAGAAAGATTTTAGTTTTTTTTCAACTTACTCTCGAGTACTTCTGGCATTATTATCATTTGGTGATATTGTACTTTTCATCCGTTTTATTAGATTGGTACTTCCAGAAGTATTAGCGACACCCGATCTTTTCGATGACCGATATTGTTCATTATGGATCATTGTACTATGTCCATTACTTTCCGAATGGTTTGATTGTCCTCGACTAGACGAATGATAATGAAAATCATTCCGCCTATTTTCATGATCCAAATGCGACCGACTTGATCTCATGATGTCTTTATGATAACAATAACATTCGAAAAACAATTTTTTTTCTGATAATAATAAACGAAACTTTGAAATAATGTGTTTGAAATAAAAATCCAGTTTTACGAGCGGTTAAATCTCCTTCTACATTGGTGAGTCATGTAGTGTTAAAATAGAAAACTAGTAGATGAAAATTCTTGCAAAATTTGATCTTTTTATGAATAAATTCCCATTTTTAAAAATGATATTACTGATTAATGACGAAAAATTTTTTATTACAAAAAGATATTGAAAATTTGTGTGAAAAAAATCAATTTAATTAGCAATTTTAAATGAAAAATTTATAATCCAAACAAACAATTTCTCAACGCATGCGTAGATTAGGCAAGCATGTGTCTTGTTCTGACTCGAAACATGTCTTTTGAGTTTTCCTTTTCCTATCCGCGTTGGCCAGTGCTTTTTCTGTGTATTCTGAGTTTGCTGTTAAATTTTTCTTTTTTTTCCGAAATATTGAAGAATTTTTTGGATTAAAATCAATTCCTTTTTAAAATGGCTACTGCAAGTCAACCGCCATCTGAAGAATTAGTGCTTAAAGGCACCCTAATCGGTCATTCGGATTGGGTTACGCAAATTGCTACCACAAAACAACATCCAAATACCATTTTGTCATCGTCGCGTGATAAAACATTGATCGTCTGGAACTTAAATCATGATGAAACTAATTATGGTTATCCATTGAAACGTCTACGTGGTCATGGTCATTTCATTACCGATGTCGTTTTATCACAAGATGGTCATTACGCTTTGTCCGGCTCTTGGGACAAAACTCTTCGACTTTGGGATTTGAATCTCTGCAAAACTACCCGACGTTTTGAAGGCCATACTAACGATGTTTTGTCAGTAGCTTTTTCTCCTGATAATCGTCAGATTGTTAGTGGCTCACGAGACAAATCGATTAAATTGTGGAATACTATCGCTCAATGCAAGTTTTCCATCGATGAAGCTAATGGCCACTCTGACTGGGTTTCATGTGTACGATTCTCGCCATCCAATACCAATCCGATTATCGTTAGTGCCAGTTGGGATCGTATGGTCAAGGTAATTTATTCGAACTGAAATAAAATGAATTATGAATTGTTTATGATTACATTCACCGATTTTTGAATTTTCCGTGTGATTCGAAATGTGTTCTGCATTTATGAAACATTCTATTCCTTTTTCAGATTTATTTGAATAATTAGATTGACTAAATATCGTTTTTTTTCTGATCTAGGTCTGGAATCTAGCTAACTGTCGTCTTAAGACTGATCATATTGGTCATGTTGGCTATTTGAACACCGTAACAGTTTCTCCTGATGGTTCATTATGCGCTTCTGGTGGAAAAGATTTCAAAGCCATGTTATGGGATCTTACGGAAGGCAAACATTTGTATACATTGGATCATAACGATATTATCAATGCTTTATGCTTTTCACCGAACAAATATTGGCTCTGTGTTGCTACTGGTCCAACAATCAAAATCTGGGATTTGGAAGGCAAAAATTTGGTCGATGAACTTAAACCTGAAATCTTAGCCAGTAAAGGAAAAGCACCGCAATGTATTTCTTTGGCTTGGTCGCATGATGGTTCCACTTTGTTCGCTGGCTATACGGATAATCAAATTAGAGTATGGCAAGTTGTACCAGCTTCTATGCCAGCCTCCGTTTGAGTTGAAAATTTTTTTAAAATTAATTAATATGAAAAAAATAAAGAAATTTTTATTGAATGCTTTTTGCAAAATTCGTCTCATCTTTGGTTTTATTGGCCAATAACATTCATAAACAAAATAATAGTCAGAAATTAATCAATGTGTCAGATAATTACCATTAAAAATACCATACAAATAAAAATTTCAAAGTGAATCATGTCATTATCGGAAAAAACTGTTCAGTGTAAAAATAGTAATCAATGACACGAACATCAAATGGAAAGAAACCAACAGCCGTTTGGCGTTGTTACATTGATCACGAGTAACATCTCGACACGATTGAGTTATTTCACGATTTCTATCTCCCATTAGTATATCGACGGTAACTCTTGAATTGTCAAAACATCGTTCCAAAACAACACGACTTAAGCAATCGCGATAGCGAAATAAAGCGCTAATGAGTGAATAAAAAATTTAAAATTAGTAAGATTTAAAACATTTTCGATGAAGGCCATACGAACCAGCATATACGACGTTGAACATCATTACTACTTCGTCCATATCTTGCTTCACGTTGTCGCATTATCAAATGATCAAGACAAGAATTTTCAAATGGACGAACACGTTCAATACATACGGAAACTGTACCGGTATGTATACCAGACAAGGCACCACCAACTCCAGCACGGTCAATTGTATCGATTGGGAATGGTTGATTCTGTGTTTGATATGGTGAAATTGGATTATTATTTAAATTCGGAATATTCTGAAATTGGCCATAAGGTGGTTGTTGTTGTGGATAATATCTACTGCCAGGATTTTGTTGATATGATAGATCAGTTCGTCGTGAATATGAATCGGATATAGCTGTCATGTGTGATGGAATGCATGACCAAGCTGCATTATGAGCTTTATCGACAAAATATGTGCCAAGTAATTCTAAATCAGTAGTATAACATGAACGGCTTTGAGATATGACACAATTGCGAAACGTTTCAAAAGCTTGACAAACTTCGTAACTGATTGGTTCATTATTGTTATTGCGCGCATAATTTCGTCCTTGATCGGGAGTTCTTGACTTGAGATAATTATATTGATTTTCGCATTCAATAACTTCTCTACGTTTAAAGCATTGAGCATAACGCCAGCCTAAAGTTATTATTGATTCATTTGATCAATAAAAAATAAAGAAAAAAATTGTTGCCAAACGCAATTCTTGATAAGAATAATTTCAAACAAAATAACCTTGATTTCTTTCACAATGTTGCACCAGGAAATTTCTTGCTTGTTGTATCAAATCAGATGATGCCTGAAATTGGTAGGATCCAATAGGATCACATAAAGGTGTATTTATAAGCAAATCGTCGAATGCCTGTCTCATCAATCTGTTGTTGTCATTGTAACGGAAAATAAATTTTAAAAAAAGAGGACAATAATATTAAGTGGATTATTAACGATTATTTGCAATGTCATCATGACAAATATGAAGCTGTCCAGAAAGAAAACGAAAATAAAAACTAGTCCTACATTGTTACTCACTTGCATTGATGATCATTTAATTGATCAGGGAGGTAGTTACGGTTATTGGTATAATTGTTAGCTTGATAACTGTTTGTTAAACCCGGATATCTTGTATCGTAAGGTGGATTTCCACTATTTACTGGTTGTCCACGTTGCATTTCAACACGAATCATTTCTTTTGCTCGTTGATGAACATTTTTATCGCAAACTTGATTGCCATATTGTTGTCCATAACCATAATTACCTCGGGCTGATGAAATTGTTAATAATGAAATAAAAACCGCCAAATAAACTGTAAAATATAACATTTTACTGTTGATTGATTCAAATGTTTGATATTAATGGGACAAATAGAAAAGGATTTATAAAAACAATGATTGAATCTAAAATTTGAATTTTCTTTTCTTTGTCTGATTACAAAGACACTTTGTTTTACTCTATACAAACTTTGTCGTCAAATGAAATGGACAAAAGCCAAGAATGGTCATTCATTTTGATTTCAACGATATTTCTAACTTTAAAACTAAAAGAAAATTTCAAGTTCATTTTTCTATTCTGGATAATGATGTCATCGAGTTAGGAGTGTCTTTAAAAAAATGTCACAATAATTTTATCCTGGAACCATGATGATGATGATGATTCATTTATGTTTATAGATTGTGTTTAGTTATGGAAAAAATACAAACAAAAAAAAATTCGTTTGTTTAATTGTGTTTCATGAAAGGTTGACTAATTAGATGCACGCAAACCTAAAATTGAAGCTAAAGCTGTTTGTCTATTGATAGATTGCAAAAATTCAATCAAATCAAAACGATTAAACAAACAAACAAAAAACTTCCCATGATTTAGGTGCGACTAAAAAAATTTGTTGTCAAATCTATCCTTTCTATATTCGACGCACAAGAAAAACGTTCTCGGAATCATTTGATTCATAAAGCATTCAAGTGTTTAAAAATATCTTTTTTTTTGATATCATCAATGAACATCTGTACATCGAACAAACAATTCAATTCCTAAAGTATCATCAGCATAAAAATGTTGTAATATTTGCCGCCATGACATTTGATAGAGTTTTGGGGCTTGTCAGGTAGCTGAAAACAAAAGTGTCATTGAATCATCAATCATCGAAAAGTATAGAGAGAAAAAGAAAGAGAAGGGGAAACATTATTGATGAAATTATTTGACTCACTGGACTCAGAATTCATCATTGTGGAAATGGTTTTCATAATTTTTTTAACGAATTACCAAATTGAATTAACAGTAATGAAGTCATCTGAAAAAATATTTATTTACAAATTAGTAAATGATGATAACACTGAAGAATACATACAAACACAAAACACGGAAACATAAAATTGATTGTTGACGTCGAACAAAAAAAAATGGTAATTTTTTTACTATTAATTGCATCCGACATTCACAAAAGATTTTGATCACTTTCTCTTTCGATTTATTTTTGGTTTTTCATACATTGTTTATTCGTGTGGACAAACAAAACAAAAAATATAAATTCGGAAAGAACAAAAAAAAATTGATTTTACTATGACAATGGTTTCATGGTCTGTTCCATTTCATAGAAAAATTGACATAGTTTTTTTTAATGATGAATCAATATTATTTTTATATCTTTTGATTATTGTTGTTCTGGTTCAGTTGATGCTATGAAAAAAAAGAAAAGGTTATACTTGCTGTCAAATGGTTGATTTGAATTCAATTTTTTTAAAAACTTTTTTGATATACTCGATAATGAAATTGTTTTTTCTATTTTTGACAATTTTTCAATCGATGATGGCTTATCTTCGAGGTGATTGGTATTTTACAAGGATATGCAATTTTTTTTATATTCAATACCATGGAGATTTGAATTAAAATATAACACTAAATCGAATGGAGGAAGCAGAAAAAATTTTTTTTTTGGACAAAATCATTTAACCTATTTTCACAAAATTTCTGCAAGAAATGCTAGGCAATGAACTTAGAAACACACTAGTTTTTTTTTATATTCTTAATTTTAGGTTTCTAGGTATTAATAAGGAGGTTATACATTATGTTGTTATGGAAATTTTATTCGAAAAAAAACACATACACTGAAAACTGTAAACAATCTTTGGATCGATTTTTCGTTAGATTCGATGAAAACTGATGATTATTTTTTTTTTTTTGGTTTTCATTCGCAGTGAGAACATAATAAGAATAATTTAAAGAATTATGGAAACACACAAGCTAGTATGTAGAAAATAATAATTATGAATAAAATAATCAATGAAGCAATCAATCAAATCACTTGTTTTTATTGGTTGTGAATGGAAATAGTGAATTCATCAATAATTTACAGCGACAATCTTTATTAACAATAATATTACAATGACAGGCTAATGATTATTAGGATAAAGATGAAAACAATAGAAATATTGCATTCGGTTTTATTTTTTGTTGATTCTATAATTGTTTGTTAATGTTGCCCAACTAAAATTTTATACCACTGTATACCAACCATAACAACAACAAACAAACAAACAAAAAATCACAAGGAAATGATGATTTACTTCGATGACTTTTCAATTCCATCTACCAATGATGATGGCAATGATGATGATGATGATGAATTGTAGATTGATTGAATGTATGAATACCTGTATTTGATGATGATAATATTTTGAACGCGCCAAATATATACACGCGAATGAAAGACACACAAGTCATTCTCGAGTAGGACTTTTAAATAAATTTGATTATTTGAAATGATAAAAATAAACAAAACGGACTCGTTTTTTTGGGAAAAAATTGAAAAAATGTTATTATTTAGTTATGTCATCATTATTTTATTTGTAATAAAAGCAATTAATTATAATGATAATAAATGATACATGATGAATCGAATTTCTTAAAAAAATGGTAAAAAAATGGAAACCAATTATTTAAAATCGCCAAAATTTGTTTACAAATGATGAGTAACGAGATTTAGTACCATTCGATTCATTATTTACAATGATTGTCTCATTAATGACATCAGAAGAAAATAATGTGGACAATTTTGGTGGCACCAATTTAATTGAGGCAATAATGTCGAAATATTTTTCCGTATCCATGTCGTCGGGTAAATTGTAAAGGAATCGTGCAGAATCAATGAATTCTAGTTTTATAAGTTCATTTTTGAACATGGACAATAATCCTAAAGAAGCTCGAAATATGAATTCATTGCCATCTCGCAAGAATATGTCCCAAACACGGCTCGCACAATCCAACGACAATGACCGGGCAAATAGTGTATAAACCTGATACATAAAAAACAAGTCTGTCGTCAATCCAATGTTGACGAAATGACTTGCTAAATCCGGCAATAGTGAATGGAATTGTCGATCGTAATATAAGTAGATGCTGCGCATCTTTTTTTGATTGAGACTATAAAATGTCATTAAAAGTTCATTGTTAAGAAGATTCGCTAAAGAAGTAAAGGCTGAGAATGAGGATTGTGAATTCAATAATAACATTGCGGCTAAAAAAGACATTCCTTGGCAGTATCCAATATCAGGTCGATAAACCACATAAGCAGATAAAACGTCACATAAAGATTTATGATATGGACCCGTTTCCTGAAAAAGACCAAGTTGCGGAAAAGTTCGTAACACGTCCAATTTGATTAAAAAGGCAATATTTTCACCATCATCATCGTCGCTATCTTTGGCTTTATCAGTGATAATACTTTGATCAGATGACGATTGACTGGAAGAAACTTCAGATGAATGTGATGCCGATCGTCGATGTGTTTTGGGATCACATGAGCTCACAGGTGATAAAGGATTGGAACATTTTCTTGAAATAAATCGACGTACCCAAATCTTTTCACTTGAACGACTCAGACAAATATGAAATAATTGCTCAGTTATGTGCAAATCGTTACCAATAACCAAATTCCAAACTTTTGGTCGAATCGATGAAGGAATTCCATTCCACCATAGATTTTGCACACGTTTAGTTATGCATGATTGACGCCAACAAGGTAATATTTCTTCGGTCCAAATTTTTATAGCTTTCTGGATTTCATTCTCTTGTTGAGCCTTTCGTTTTACAATGTCTTTTCGTAATTTTTTTCGCTGTAAATCTTTTGTTTGAGCTTGTAGTAATATCTCTAGGAATTGTTCTCGGTGTTTTCGTTCTTCTTCTTTACTTTTTGGTGGAAGATTTTGAGGTCTTTTGATACAAACATTGGTTCCAATGGTGATATAACGTTCATATTTATCATATATGTCTATATCATATAGATTAAGATGTTTAGCGATATTAACAATAGAATCGATTTCATTCTGATAATCTTCCGAATCATCTTCGGTCATATAATTGGCACATTTATCATCTTTGAGATCATCAGGCAACAAAGTACAATTATTCGATTTGGTCGTACAATTTGATAGCCTTTCATTACAATTTTTGAGACATAATTTTTTTGTTGATGGATCATAAACCAAATTTCGATCAACCTGGTGTAGAGCATCGCTTAATGAACAAGGATTTCTTGCAGCCACCGATGATTGATGCTGTTGATTTGATTGAATATCCATCCATCCACTTCAAGTGATTATCATAACATAAAGGTGAAAAATAAAATGATATGGATTGATTAGAAAGCTGAAAAATCGGAACTAAAATTAATTGATCATTATATCATTATAGGACAATGAACATCAAACATACGTATGAAATAGCCAAAACACAAATATTTCAACTTGTTCATGTGGCTAACTGTATACATAATATAACTGTGTATAATCCTTAACTGTTCAAGTTCAACTCTCTAAAAGCTCGAATCGAATAGTTTTTTGCTCAATGCATCGTGAAGCAAGTGTTTAAAAAAATATATTTCAAAACAAAGAAAATTGTTTACAACTTGATAAGAAAGGATTTTTGTAATTTTATTTATTCAATCGTATATCCATTCATATATATAAACTCACTGACCAAAGTGAGTAAGTCAACCAGTTGTCAAACACTGAAAACACTGATATTTAAAGGTTATCGAGCATGCCTAGTTTTAGGGTCACTTATGTTGATTAGATGTTGTTTTTAGAGGAAAAAAATGATCGATCTTTATTCATTCATAAATTTTTCGAAAAAATGGTTATATTAAAAATAGCCACTTTGATCATAACTTTAGTTTATAAAGACATAATAGAGAAATTTTTTTTTATTTATTCAAAATTAAACACAATATGATTTTTTTTGGGAAAAAATTTGTCATTTTAAAACCATTTTATATGAAGCAGATCAAATGAAGAAGAATCAGTTTTGCGGTCAAAATTCGTCATATCTGCGACCAAATTTAAAAATGATTGACCTATGCATTCAAAATAAAGTTTTTATAATTGAATTAATAGAAAAAGAATTAAAATTAGAATTACCCTAAAAATATGAATAAATTCTGAAAGAATATCCCTAGTCCTGGTAAAATGTTGACACCCGTTACGACATAGGCTCCAAACAATATCCACAATGAAGCGATTAAACTACCAAATCCAAGAACAAAACCGATAAATAGCCAAATATGAACAGTGTAATCACCGCCACCATATGAATACATTTCAATACGACTTGAAGAGACTGAGTTGATCCTATAAATTGAAAAAGCGTTACATTTTTTCATCAATATTTTTGTTTGTTTGTTCTCAATTTACATCAATAAAGAAATGGTAGCCAGTACTCCACAAACATGGTATGCGTTATTAAAATCTGGATAATAATATCGTGAAGATATGTCAATTATAATCCACCAACCAATGGCAAACTATTGGATCATATTATCTTTGAATTAGAATTTTTATCACAAATCCTTTTAAAACTTACAAATGATCCAGCAACAATGCTGGTTATTTTATTACGATTTTCATCATCTTGTAACCGTCCGATACAGTTCTCAAAACACGAAGACATGGCTATTATTTTATAGATAGATTTGTAGAATTATTTTTTTTTGCAAATTCAATACATTCATAAAATGTCATTCAAATGAAAAATAAAAATCAAAACAAAACAATAATATAACAAACACCCGATTGGCTGATTTTATTGCGGCGATGCCAATCGATATCGACATAATTGTGCGTTATTCATAAAGAACGTTTTGAGTTGACGTTCATTGATCATAAATTTGATTTTTTTAATTAATTTATCTCAGATTTCTGTATTAAATCATTCATCCGACTGAAAACATGACGGTCTCAACAGTAAAAATTTTACGCAGAAATCCTAAAGGATGTAAAGATGAAGAGTTTAACAATTGGCCCGAAGAACCTTTTGATGAAATGGATTCAACAATAGCCGTACAACAATATATACAACAAAAGATCCGAAAAGATCCATCAAATATTGATGAAATTCTTAACCCACCAAAAGGTCAAGATCTGGGAACTTGGAAGTATGAACACATGCGACAATTCTGTTTGGAATTGAACAAATTGACTGTAAAGTTACAAGCCGAATGTAACCAGGAAAGTTGTTCCCAAATGACAGCTACCGAACAATGGATTTTTCTTTGTGCTGCTCATAAAGCTCCAAAAGAATGTCCAGCTATCGATTATACCCGTCATACATTGGACGGTGCTGCTGCATTACTCAATTCGAACAAATATTTTCCATCCAGAGTTACCATAAAGGAAGCATCGGTTGCCAAATTGGGTAGCGTTTGTCGTCGAGTGTATCGAATATTTTCGCATGCTTACTATCATCATAAGACGATTTATGATGAATTTGAAAACGAATCATTCTTATGCAAACGTTTCTCTGTGTTTTCCATCAAATATGATCTTATGTCTATCGAAAATCTTATTGTTCCAATAGCTGGCATGGATTTTAATGATATCAAAAAAGTCAATTCGATACCAGTCACTATGTGTGAAACAGCACTCGTCATGGAAAACCCGGTGGTGGTAACTACAGTTCCTCCAACAGTGGCCACTAATAGTGACGGTATCATTGCTACAACAGTATTACGTAGCTCTTCAGATTCTTCGGAAGCTTAAAATTGATTTGCAGCAGCAACAATCACCACCATCACATTGATTTTAAATTATTGCAAAATTCATGTTTTTTAAAGTTTTAATCATTTAATCTGATAATATACATTTAAATTGATTTACTTAAAAAATTATTAGAAAAAATACAGTACATAATCAAAATTATACAAAATAAAAATTAAATTAAAATAAATGGTCATTTATAATTGAATTAAGTCATTGAAAAATTAATATGGGTATGAGCTTTGAAGCTGCCCGGGATTTGGTGTCGAAAGTTGCCGTTGAAGCTGTGTCATCGGTGCTCTTGGATGATTTTGTCCCATTTGATTACCTTGCCAATTATTCATCATTTGCTGTTGTTGCGGCTGTTGTGTTTGTTGTTGTTGTTGTTGAGACTGAGATGGAACTTGATGTCCGGCATAGTTGGAAAATTGTGATCTACAAATTATAAAATAGTTTTAATTTTTTTTCCAGAAATATCAATATAACTAACCTTTGTTGCATGAATTGTCCTTGATTTTGTTGTTGCGAATTCATTGCCATTTGTGGACGAATCATCATATTTTGTTGTTGAGAATTAGATGCTGGCTGTTGATAATTTGGATTGGTTGACAATGACATTGAATTGTCCATCGATTGCATATTGTTATTAAATTGAACGTTTTGTACAGAAGGTGATGGTCTAAAATTTGATGATTGTTGCATATGATGATGCATGGAGCCAGGATTAACTTGATTCAATTGTTGTTGAGAAGCAGGTGGTGGCGGCTGTTGTTGTTGTTGCTGCTGCTGTTGTTGGAAAATGTTATTTTGATTGGTCATCGAATGATTATTTGGAGGTTGAGGTCCTTGAGCTCTGATTTGAGTTTTTTGCATCATCGCTGGCATCTGATGACGAGATGGAAACATTTGGCCAGTTGGTTGTTGATTATTCATCATTGAACCAGAATTGACAACATTTGTTGCTGAAGGTTCATTCTGATTCATATTGAATTGATTTGGATTAGGATGTCGATGATGAAGCATTGCGCGTAAACGTTCTTTTGGCTGAATTACTTGTCCTTGGAATCGTTGGTTTGTGGCTTGCTGTGGAATCATCATTGAAGATCCTGTTTGATTCGGAACAGGGCCTGACCCAGATTGATGATAGAACGATTGTGTGTTGGAATTCATGTTAGATTGCTGTGGATTTTGATTTTGATAGGTCCAATTGGCAGGGGCATTCTGATTAGAATTGACCGAGTTGGAATTATAGTTATCAAAAGAATTGGACATCCGTATCGGAGGAGTGGGTTGACTTGGTATCGGAGGGATATTGACTGCTTGTTGATTTTTTGCATTTCGCCGTTTTCGAGTAGTTTTCGGTTTTTTCGGTGTTTGTGCTCTGGTATTCATAGCTGGCATTGATGGCATTGGCAAATTACTTGGAGTCATTGATGGTCTTAAACCAGGCATAGATCGATTGAGATTTGGTGGTCCTGATGGAGGCATATCCATCATATCCATTTGCATGGGCATCATCGATGAATTATTCAATGATGCCATCATCATAGGATGATTTTGAGGATTCATATGTGACGTGGGTTCGTTATTGCTACTGTTCATCATATGAGGAGGAGGTTGTTGTGTAGGGACTTGTTGTACGATTGGAGAAGAATGCATCACATTCGATGGCAAAGATGTGCCAGTTGGACCAGCAGGACCTTGCATTGAGCCATGAGATATGTTATTCGAACTCATTGCCATTGAGTTTACGTGATATTGAAAGCCACTTTGACCCATATTAGGTGGACCTCCAGGTGGTCCTTGATGAAGTTGATGATGGGTTGCACTTTGAGGTGGAATAGAATTAAAAGGTGGATGAGGTTGTGGTGGTATACTGTTCATAAGATTAGAAGACGGCGGCGGTGGTGGCCCAGTTGGTTGGCCAACAGAAGATATATTCGATCCGTTTGGCGATATTACCGGATGAGCTTGATTGTAGCCAAGTTGCGGAGGGGGTAATGAATTCTGAGACATGATCTGCTGTGGTGGTAGCTGTGGTTGTGCTGGCAATTGTGGTGGCTCATCTTCAGGTGGAATGGGTGGTGATTCTATATAGTATGAAATCGGTTTACACATATCATGATCATGGCGAGCAAGAAGACAGAAATTCTCTTCCAATCGCAAAGGTTTACGTTCCATTTTTATTGCCCCAAACCATGTCCAACTTATTGGAACATAATTTTTAACACCCTCAATCAAATCCCACGGTGAAAGTTTTTGTTTTCCAGATGCTTGAAAGCCTTGTTTTTTATCGATAGAATCAAATCCAGCTATTTTGTTTCCTTTAGTATCGACCAATGAACCCATAGCCTCACATGCGATCACTTCCGATTGATATTTGACTAATGGTAATAATTGTCTAGCCATTCTAACTCCTACTCCAACTCGTTCAACATTAAGCTCTTTTTTCAGTTTTCTAATCAAATTTTGATTGAGTTTTTTAATTTCTTCACGTTGTTCAGGTAAGACGTTTGATGCATGTGAATAATGCATCAATGATGTGAGCATATCCAATACAGTGGAAAAATTTACATAATTAATATGTGGATCAACAATAGTAAAGCTGATCATTTGTGCTAACAAAACTACCCAATCATTTGTCAATGATGTTGATGATTTGATAGTGTCAAATATTGCGCCAATTAAACTGAGTCGAAGTTGAAGTCCTTCTTGAATGAAACTTTTCGATCGAATATCATCACTCAGTTTTTCATTAATACATTGTAACAGCTGAGAATGCATTGATTTGAGAATTAGTTCTTTATGATCTTCTTTTGAATTCAAACACATTAGTAATAAAGATACGAAAGGTTGATACGACAACAGTGTTGTTGTTGGATTAAGATTATTCAATGAAATACCAGCAAGATTATTCGTATTTTTGGATCCTTGAAATCCAAATTTGCTTTTTGAACTCATCGAACCCGATTGATTTTGTGAATAAAGAATCCAACTTGGTGAATCAAACTTAATGGCAGCAAAACGAAGAATTTTATTTTGAAGTGGTAGCTTTGAAATTAATGGTTTTAATAGCCATATTCTTTCGTTGGAAATATTATTACCGAAATTCAATAGATTAGTTTTTATGTTTGAACTTTTTGATGTAAAAATGGTGAGATTTTTGCTGTTTAAAACTGGTTCGAACTGACATGATTGCTGAAAATATTCCACTATGGCCGATGCCAATGTATCTAACCATTCATAATTGCTTTGCGGTGATTGTGAATTGTTGGCAAGATTTTCATAGATTAAATGAAGCTGTAACCATGAAATGCGTAATGACCATTCGTCAAGATTTTGAAAAATATTAATTATTTGTTTTGAATCTATTTTTTCATTAATATTTACTGGTGGTGGTAATATTTGTTTATGATAACATATCATATTTAGTAAACATTGCGAATCTTCGTATGAGATTTTTTTGTCAAATAATTTTTTTACTGTATTCGGATGAATCATGAAACCACGCAGACATCTATCGTGCACCCAATCTTGTAGACAAACCTGACGTAATACATATTTAGCAAAATCAGATAACGATGGCTTTTCTGTTGAATCTATTTTTGATTTAGCCATCTGATTTAAATAGGTTCTATCGTTAAATTCGTCTTCACTGTTTATTGGTTTGTAAAATGAATCAAATTCAGATTTATCAGATTTAAAATTCTTCTCACAACTTTTTTTCTCTTGAGTACCTGAACATGAATACGAACAAAAAACAATAAAAAAAATTCGATTAAAAACTATTTATAGAAACAAATTTAAAATGACGAACATACCAAGTCGCATGATGGCTTTCAAAAGTGTAAGAATTAATTCAAGTTGCAATGAATTAAGTGCTCCACCCAAAAGATAACGATCGCAAGCATATTTGATATTGAATGGAGATTTTTGTCCGGAACCTAGAGTGGGCGCCACTGTTGAAAGTCCAAGTGGACCAGGGCTAGTTAATGAGTAACGTGATGATGATGCAAACGATGAATTCATGGCCGAATTCGAAGCAGCCAATGGTGAATCATAATATTTGAATAAATAAAGTATGAGATGGCAACAAAGTCTAGCTTTTCGTTCGGTTTCCTCTCCACTTTCGACAGTAGGTGTGAGAAGTGAGCGAATAAAAACGCGATAAATCAAATCCACAAGACTAAAACATCTACGTGCTACCAGAATGGAAACAAAGACAGCAAGATTGTCATAGATGCTACGATCACCAATGTTGATTTGTGTTAGCAACGAACTGTAATCATTTGTACATTTAGGAATGCATAGCGCTTGAATAGCGTCGAACCATTCATTCGATAGTAGCCAACAAGAAGCAGTCAATTCGGCACAAAGTACAGATAATTCGTTTAAATAATCCATATCATTTGCTTCGGTTATACAGCGAATAGCATTGAAAACCAATGAATATCGATCGGATGCATTTTCATTCAATTGACGAATGTGAATTGAATCAACTTTTTCTCGTGGGTTTTTCAAATATTGCATCATAACACAAGGATGATTCAAAGATTCTTTCTTGTTATCATCACGAATGACAATCATGCTTTTGATTTTTTGTGAAATCGGGTTGATTATATCTTGATATTTTTTCAATACACAAGCACAAGACGAATATAGATCATCAAGGTAAAAGAAAATACAACGTTCGGCTGATGAACAATCATTAGGTGTGCTGACATGACGAACTAATTTCCATAATCCATCAAAAATTTGATAGATATCTTCGGTGGATGCAAGTACATAATTATGATAACGATTGAGTACGCCAATAATGTATAATCCAATCGATGTACAATATGGCCGAGCAAGTAATGAGCATTTTTGTTGTAAAACACTTTCGACTTCGACCAATTCTCGTAGCATCTGGACAATGAATTCAATTAAGCCATTAACATTCAATGCTATTTCCATGAGATCGAAAAGAAATGCAATTGATTCAATCAATGGTAGATGATTGGCACTACCAACGACAACACCGTTTAGCATTTCCAATACTGTGCTGGCACAAGTATTCGTCACAACATGTTGATCGAAAATAGATAAATTTTGAAATTTTGCGATAGCATTTTCAAAATTGAATCCTTCCTTGATGACATGTTTTTTTACTTTGCCATTATCATTGATGTCCAATGAACTTTTTCTATTGAATAATTTCTGAATTTCTTTTGTAACTTTTTTAACGATATGTCGGGCCTCATCCTTTGTTTTACTAACACCGTATAGAAGTATGTGTCGTTGATTACATTCATGCATAAATGATTCTTCTTGAGGCAAAGGAAAATGCAAAGTGTATAGTAAATGTCTAGATGTAGCATTGATTTGATCGGATAGCTGATTTTTATTATTATTGGCCAAATCCGATAATGATGTTGAATTAGTGTTCACTGAATTTGGATCATTGGTTTCATCTTCTTTATCGGATTCAATAGCATCCGGAAGTAAAATATCATTTTGATCATCTTTACTTTGTTGTCCGGCTTTAATATTCTGTAGAATTTTGTCCAAATCTTCATCTAATTTATCTTCATCTTCATTGATGGAAAACATGTTCGACCCTAATTGCTCATTGCTATTAAGATTTGAATTGTTTGATAATGGATCAAACATTGGCAGTGAAGATGAAGATGTACTTTTATGAAGTTGATTCATTAATACACTATTCGAAACAGTTTCCATGTTTGGTGGTAATAATCCTGTAAGCGAATCTTCATTAGTATTTTTGATTGGATGATTCGAATTGGATGAAGGAACCAATGAAATGTTAGGTGGATTAACAAAATGACCTCGTGATATTAGTGTTCGCATATAAACATCATGGGAGAAAACGTCATGACGAATTAGTTCGGCAAATAATAAAACCAAATTATAGAAAGATTGTTTGTTATCGGACGAACAGTTATTGTTAGGAAATGTGTTGGTAGAAAAAAATATTCCTAATGTTTTATCCTCAGTAACTGGTGCATATTGGTCGAGAAATTCAAACAGAACATTTTGATAGATGGGAATGGTATCGTTATTATTAATCGATGTTGATTTATTTTCATTGTTATTCCATCCATTGGGAAATTCTTTGCTATCAGAATCTCCGTGATTTTTGTTCGATTCAGAAGTTTCAACTTCATTAATTAAGTTATCTTTTTCCTGTAGAATTTCATTTTGTCTTCTTTCGAGCAATTTTGCTACTATTCTGGAACGATATTCTCCCAATCGTTTATTGGTAACAGCCCATTCACAAAGTAATTTTACAATAGCAACATCTTCAGCAATAATTTCTTGAATTGATTTATTAGCCATTGAATTGCTACGATTTCGTTCGCTGTTAGACCCATAAGAATCGCCATCAAAATGAATCGTAGGATAAAAGATTATATTATAAAGTGTATCCAACGGATTAGAGGATGTGACTTTGTCAAATGAATGCTTATCAATCGAATCTAAAACGTCAAGCAACCGATTGACAACATTCCCAACAGAATCAGTAGAGGAAACAGCTTCGAATGTTTTGAAAAACCATTTTTTTTCTGAATTCGCACTTCGGTAACGAATTAAATTCTCTGAATTTCTGAGTCTTTTGCGTAAAAATTCAACATTTTCTGTCGATACGATTGGTAAATTTGATGGTTCACATGGAAGATAATCTAAAGGAGAACCATGTAGCAAAGGTGTTTTACTCACAGAATTTGTATTATCGAAGAATGATGAACTATCAAAATTATGCCATACCAATGCAGTAGGACATTCGATGGTTATAACTTGTATGACACAGGATAAAGAGAGTAACAGTTCACGAAATTTTGAACAAGCGATTATATCTTTGAAACATGAGATCAACATTACATTGTTGTTGTTTGATTCATTTGATGACGATTTGGAATTTGTAATAAGGATTGAAGAACTGGTTTTATCAGGATCTTTATGATCGCTGACATTTTCTTTATCCGTCTCTACACCGGGTTCACTTGAAACATGAGCAACTAATTGGCTAATTTTTCTAGCACAGTGGAATGCAAGATGACGAGACAGAAATTCTGACTGTGTAAATTCATTAACATATTGGACCAACATTGGAGCAATTAATGTTAACAATTGATCATCAATCGATTTGATTTTTTCAAATAATTCCAACAGCCAAAAAAGGAAATCGTGTCGATCCAATAAACCTTCTTCAAATAACGAACGTGCTAATCTTGTATAATATTCCCATTGATTCAGAAGCTCTTTGGTTTTTATTGGTTGCGAATTTAAAGAATTGCCCATCGATGAAAACGTATTTCCATTATTATTCACATTCGAATTAGGATTTGTGGCTTCCATAATCTTCATATAATTTTCTTTGAGTGTTTTACATAAACTGGCAGTCCATTCTTGAGATGGATCGGGCATTTGATTTCGTTTTTTCGATTTGTTATTGGACTCGGAAATTGCCATTTGATGAGCATTTGAAACTTTTAAAAACCATTGTGCTTTGATCATCGGTACCGAATATTCAAATAGCCAAATGAAAATCTCTTCTTTTTTGTTGAAAAACGGAACTTTTTTTGAAAGATGTGCCAATGATTTCGTATTGGAAGCCAAATCTTTGAACCAACCTTCAACATAAGGTTTGGTCTTGGCTGTAACATATAATGCACTATCTTTGTTGACTACATGTTTTTTCTTGCTCGTATCGCTGAATGTATTCAATTCGTGCTTTTTGGCTAAAATGGCGCTAAAATATTCACCAAACCTAGTCGTATTAATATTTGCATTCCTTTCTGTTCCATATTCGTGTTCATCTTGTAATGTTCGATTGCTATAGCCTTGTTTAACGAATTGTTGAGTCAATTCATCCTATCATTAATTAACACAAAAAATGGTGTTTATTGAGAAATTTTTTTTCCATTAAACAGAATTACCTCTTTTTGTTTTGGATCCTGTGGATAAACATCTGGTGGGCCTAATCTAGGTTTCTTCAAAGGCCTTTTCTCATAAAGATGTGTTGATATCAACACGGTTGACATTTTTCTTAATACTTTTCAATTATAATCTGGAAAATTTCAGCATTTTTTATGTTTAAAACAATCAATTTAAAAAAATTCAACTAAAAACCACTGTTATGCGATGCATTTATCCTTACTTTACATTTAAAAAAATCGGCCGCTAATAACAAAACGGGACAAAAATTCAGACGTTCTAAAATACAATTGTTACTCATTTCGTTTGTATACACACAGCTATGTTGCCTGTCAATATATTGACTGCTAAACAGTGAACACAATAAATACACAAAAAATGTCAGAAAAAAAGGACCATCCATAAACTATATGGCATGGAATTTTTTCTCAATTATAAATTTTAAAATTTTTATTTTTAGCTTAATACATCGATTTACAAAAAAAAGTTTTTCACAAACAATAACAATAGATAAATAGCGAAATTCTATCGCAAAAAAAGGAAAAGAATCACAATTATTCAGATAACATAATTGTAGAATTTTTGTTGTTTGATTTTGTTTTAATTGGATCTTCATCATCATTGATCACGGATAATTTATCCAATTGTTCTATCAAATCATTTTGTTCGTCAGGATTAGAATTTGATTTTTGAGCCTCATCAATTTCTTCTAGGATTTGTTGCAATTCTTGTTCGGCTTCCATTTCGAATTCAGTTGATTCTTGTATAGGACGACTCAATTCCTCATTCACTAATGATTGATTATTTAGAATATCATCCATTTGAGACATTATATTTTCTACATCTTCTATTTTGGTTGAATTTTTCTTCAGTACATCGTTGGCCATTTGAAAAGTTTTCATCATCAATTTTTGGGAACCAGTTTCCAATAATTGTGAACATAGAATTTCAATATTGTCGATTTGTAAATCTTTTTCATTCACACGATTTTCTAAACGTTTTTTTCGTTTCAGTAATAATAAAGCTTTATCACGATTGTTATTTTTGATGGCTGCACGTGCTTCATTATTAAGCGTTTCCATTCTTCTTTCTATTTGGTTGGCTTCTTTTTCCAAGATTTCTTTAACCAATTCGAGCTTGACCAAAGTTATATCTGAATCTTTTGCCTGCTTATTATTGCCGAATTTGATAAGTTTAAAGCCTGTTTCTTCATATATTTTTAGCTTATTTTCTGATTCAAGTTTGATCAATACCATATCCATGGAAATTTCATCCAATTTCTTCTCACCAAATACATTTTTGTTGATCATATTTACAAATTTTGAATAACTCATACAAGTAGTCTCAATGTTTCTGATATAGGATTCTATGCTTTCCGAAATGATTTGCATAGTTTCCACATTGACAAGTTGATAATCTTGAGAAATGGCAATGTCCGAATGGATATCATTATCTTTGGTTGATAACCAATTCCAACCAATTGTAATTGGTTTCATAATTAATGAATTTAGAGTCCAATTGACAAAACTTGATTTAGAACGATTTGTTTGGTTGACAATCTCGTCTTTGAATAGAATTTTGTTATGTCGTTTCATATGCGAAATAACTAGCTTTACACAGTCTAAATGTGGCAATTTTTCATCACGATTAAAATTTTGACGCATTTCATCAATTGTGAACACAACTTTACGATCGAAAAGGCACCATTTATTGATCAAATTAATCCAAAAGTTCATCTTCAGGTCCCAACCTTCAGGATTAATTTCACGAATTCGAAAGGGGTGAAATAAGACATTCATTTTTTTATCATCATTCCAACAATCGGGTAAATATGGTCTTTCGATAAAATCGAAATTATTGCTGTCAATTTTGGTGGGAGATTTAAAACTACGATTTAATTTATCCATTAAAAAAATGATGATTAAGATGATGACAATCAAATAGAAAATCAAAAAAATAATGGAAAAAATAAAAACATAAAACAAATATAAAGTAAAAAATAATCATCAAATGAACATAAACAAATGATAAACATGCTTCTAAAATGTATACAAAACTCATTACCAGATGGCAGAGTTAATCAAATTTATTTATCAAAATCAGAATTGAATTTCAAAATTTTGTAACATTTTCTATCTAATAGTTTTTGTAAACACATAAAACATTTGTAAAAATATTGAATTGTTTGGTTGTGAAAAATAATTTAATGGTCAAGCGAAATAATGAATGAATTCGTTCACATTAAATCTATTCAATATATGACCAGAACCAAAATTTAGACAATTTTCGAACAATATTTGTTCAAGTAATTTGATATTACAATTTTTTTTTATTTTCAATTAAACTTGGTACTTGAAATGACTTTGTTCCGTTTTCGTTTTTCTATTTCACAACCATAATTTGATAACATTGACGAATCAATTTTGAATTCTAAACAAATGACGGATTTTTTTTTCTTGTTCATTTCAAAATTTAATTTCGCCAAATTTGCGTCGGAAAGAACATAACCAAGAAAAAAATTTGGACAACAATTTTAAATCAAAAATTTTATTGTTTTTTATTCAGTAATTCTGTCAAAAAATTTCATAATATTTATAATTATAACGGTGAATAGCCAACAAACACCCAACAAACTAATTTTTATTGCAAAAATAAAATAATTTTATTTAGTTCATTGATGTAATCGAAATAAATAAAAAATAAAAAACATCAATTTTCAACTTACTAATATCAGATTTTTTTTTCTCTTATTTGATTCGTTCCCACGATTTTCAAATAAGCTAACAACAACAACGATAAAAGAAAAAAAAATCATCACATAAGCGTTTGGGGATTTTGGACCGCACGATTGCGGTTTTAATAATAATAATAATATTGAATAATCAATGGCTCAATCATCGTTATCCACAACAACAACAACAACAAAAGTAAAATGTAATACAGGAGAAAAAAAAATATTTCCGATATTACGGGATACATTGTGTAACATTATATTAAACGGATATAATATAAACTAGGTCCACCATATGAAACATGAATACTTTATGTGTGTATTTGATTAGAATGTGTTGATGATGAGAATATGGTTTGACTTTTTAACTTGGGAAAAAAAGAGGAAATTTTTTCCTAAAATAAACGTTTTTTTTAAATATTGAAAGCCTCAATGGAACAATTAACACTTACTCCACTTATTTATTTATTCATTATTTCATTTTTATTCTCATTTTTTTTCACCATCGTCAAACAAATGGCTTATTCTAATTTATTTTAATTTTAAAAAATGAATAATAGTCGAATGGAATAAGGTTGATGGTGAGCATTTTTTTTTTTTTTTTGGAAAGATCCATGTTTTTCAAAATATAAATTGGTCATTCTTCATTTAGAGAAATCTAACATTTGCCGGCAACAAAATAAATTGATTTTTTATTACTTTAAAATGAATTTCAACAAACTCTTCGTGCTTTTTCACTCAATTATATTGGGGAAGCCATAAACTATTTTTTTGAATTGCAATTCAAAAAGAAATTAAAATGAATGAAATAAAAAAAGTTATTGATTTAATTTTTCTTCATTTATTTTTTTTAGTTAATCGAATTATTATGGCCCCTTTATTTTCGATATTTATCATTATTGTTATTGCACGTGAATAGGCCAATATATTAGTTGGCCAAAAGAAGTTTTCAATGGTAGGTGTGAGTAGGTTTTTTATATTCGAATAGTTCCATAGTAAATAACATAGGATATTATTTCTTTTTTCCCCCTCCTATTACACTTTTTTTTCTATAATAATAAGTTTCAATGTCGGTTCAGGCAACAAACGAAATGATAGAAACAAAACATCAACAACAACAACAACAAAAATCCAGACGTTACCACAGTGTATGTATAATGAAAATGATATTTGAAATTCACCAAAATACAATGGTAATAAAACCAAAAGTGAAGTAGTCCACAACCTAATATTTAAAAGAAAAAAAAAGGTAACCAATGAATGAAATAAACAATCACCGCAATAACGAAAAGAAAGAAAGAGAAAGAGAAAAAAAAGACAAAGTTCCAAGTCCATTAAGATGATTTTTCATTCATTCATTCATTCATGAACACAAATATTACAATATGATAACAAACAGTTCGCAACAAAAAAAAATTTTTGACACAAGAAAAAAAATTGTAAATAATTATGAATTGGTCTACTATTGTAGCAAACAAAAAAAAAGGTGAAGTGATTGTTCATTGAAAATGTTCTTAAATTTTTTTTTTGTCGAGTTCTTTTCCTTTCCAATTTTGGATCTGTAGCTGATGATGATGATGATGATGAAACTTTATATTTATATAGATTGCCATTTGTAATAAAAACAAGAGAAATATTCATTGTATAGTATAGAAAAAAAAGTTGACAACAACAAAAAACTGCGACCAAACAATAATCAACGAATGTCTCAAATCAAGTGGTCCATAATGGCCTGTTTGGGACAATTGATATGATACAATTGTAATACCGGTGGTGTATAATGACGATGACTACGACAACGACGACGACGACTACGACGATGATGATGACAACAACTACAACCCCAAAAAACTTGTGACAAACAAAAAAAAACCCGAAAAGAAAAACTTCAGCATAAACGAACACGAGTTATTGAAAAGCTGTCAATGAAATGAATTGAATCGAATACACAATTTTTTTCGAAAAAAATTCTATTGAATTCAATTCATTTTATTTCAATTCAAATGAATGATTTTGTTGTTGTTGTTCAAAACGAAACAAAGTCAAGTATATAAATATAATATAATAGATGAATAAAAAAAATTAATGCGTGAACACTCACACTCAATACTGGAGACAGAAGTAATCTCCACACATATTAAATTTAAATAAAAAGTCAAATGAAAAGAAAAAAAAAATATCCATAGATCAGATGAAAATTAACAATAACCGTAAGAGAGAGAGAAAAATAGATCATATTGATATCCAATTTGGATCATTTTTCGATATTTTTTTTTCATTGCCGCCACTGGTTGTTTTCATTTATTATTATTATCATGTAGAACAAAAAGTCAATCAAAACTAAAGGACTTCAGGGTTTTTATTATTGGAATAAAAATGGCTACCATTATAGTTATGGTAGGCAAACACACCATATATTTAAATATTTAAAAAAAACACAGAATGGTCCCTGTCATTGATACAAGGAGAAGAAGTTTATATTAATACACCCAAGAAAAAATCCAATAAACTTTGACTTTTCGATTGTTCGATCATCATTTATTGTTATTGTTGTTGTTGTTGTTCAGTTATCATCTATTGTTTTCACCATCAACGTTTGTTCAATTTTTTTACCGTTGTCGGTTACAAAGTTGTATAGTCGATATAGACAAGTAGGAAATTTTTAAACATTCACCAACACACCTACCTATTGTTGCACCAATGTGACAAATAATAAATTTTTATTTTCTTCAATTTTTAATTTTTTTAACTGTCGGTTGATTTGTTATATTCATAAAGAAACTCATCTTATATTACATGATTAACGACAAGAAAAGAATATATGTGTGTAAAGTGATATGAATCAGTGTGAACATTGTCAACTGAACATTCAACATTTCATTTTTCAATGTGATTTTATTTAGCTAACTTTGTCAATGATTTTGGAATATGAGAGGGGGTGAGGAAATTTATAATATATCCCATTACTTTGTTGTTAGTTAGTTTATCTCAAAAAAAAATAAAATATTCATACTGAGTCGATGAGCAATCATAATCAATGAAAAAAATCAAACAAAACGACAAAATGAAATAAATAGATTCAGTATTTGTCAGGTTAGGTATGAAATTTTTTCCAAAGATCAAAATTGATTGTAAAGTAGTTGACATGTCACACCAGATTTTCTATTTATTATTATAAATCTTGGTGCTTATCTGATATCTGAAAATAGTTGTCATCGAAAAATTGCCTCATAACTTTGAACTTCCTTTGAATGATATGATTTTTTTCAAATTTTTTTCCTGTAGAATGTCGAATGAAATAAAAAGGTAATTCTTTAAATTTAAATTTTAAAATGCCATAAGCTTTTTTTCGGAGGTTGAGGGTTTGATGAGCCACATTTCATGGATCGAAAAAAAAGTAAAAGATTAATCTTGGATAAAATTTCCGGAATAATAAACGACAAATTTAAATTTTGAAAAAAGGTTTCTTTTTTTAAATGAATAAGTGAACATCGGAAATTGGAATATATCATGGGTAATCTTTGGTGAACATAAATAATCTTTTGATAAAAACAAAATATCCATACAAACATATCTCACATAATAGAAGTCCATTTTAAACAACAACAAAATGAAAAATAATTCATGATAATAATGGAACCTTGTATCTTGACTATAATCTATCTAGTCAAGTAATTTATAAATTATATCTGGAAAAGTCTTTGATTTTTGTTGTTGTTGTTGTTGTTAAGATTCAAACCTTAACAGGATTCGATAATAATAACAACCGTCGGCATTTTGACTATTGAAATCTTCCAAATGATAACAACAAAAGAATGACATTAGTTTCATTTTAAAGGTAATAAATTATTCTCAATTTTTTTCGGTAACAATACGACAACAACAACAACAACATCGAATTTACAATAAAGATGGGGACAAGATCACCAAAAACAAGATCAAATCAACAATAGATTCTTTTATTATGTCCTGAAATCTTATTGTATATTCGAACTACCTAAACAACAACAACAACAAGTATGAAAAATCAAAGTATTAAAAAAGTAAATTTCATTGTCATCGATAATGAACTGGGTTCTTTTTCATGAAGGTAACACTACTCAATTTGGATTTGTTGTTGGCCAATAATTTCATTATTTTTCAACCGTTTATTTACTTGATTAATGTTTATTTGTTAACAACAACAACACTTGAATAATATTTGGTATTGAAAATAATAATAATTTCTAATTAATAACAACACATCGGATGACATTTCAAACAAAAAAAA